CATTACCATTAAACACAACCAAACTCGTTTCGTCTTTTAATTGAATGTACACTTTTTTACCACAGTATACTAATTTTATCCAATAGAAAATAATAATTACTCCATTAATAACAATAATGATATTAACTTTAACAACAGTTGTTAGTGTAAGACTTATAAATGACAATTGCTATATGATAACAGTGATCGAATAATAAAATTAATAGCAGTTGTTATTCTTAAAAGAAGATTTATTGCTGTATGCACAATTTATTTTACTTTGTTTTTTATAGTCATAAGTATTTTGTTTACAATAATTCAATTATCTTTACTGAACAGTGATTCGCTATTATTGATTTATCATTAAACGAATCATATTCATAAACAAATTACTCATTTAGTTAAACGGATTTCAGGAAATGAATCAATGCCCATCTCCCAGAATTCCATTTTGGACAGATTCATTATTGATGCATTGCTTTTTGAATTGCTCGATTTAAATCATATTTCAAATCAAAATTAGTTGAAGCATGTAAATTGATTTTACTAAATTTATTTTTCGGTATTCTCTACCCATATTATAACTTTTATTATATATGTTATCTTTAATCAATATTATTAATGCATTCTGATCTATGTTTCGATTTTGCTATTCATAGCTGCAAGGATTAGTCCAGTGCAGTAAAGTTGGTCAACTCATGGTATCGTTTATCATTACATTATTATTATGATTATCCTTTTACCATCTTAAAAAAGGTAAGAAGAAGGGAAGGAGGTGAGAGAAGTTCTTTTTTTTTAAATCACTAATTGATACCAAATAACGGAAGCATTGGATTGCATCAGAAGGATCCCGAAAATGCTTCCTTTTTTTTGGAGCAATAAAAACGAATGACATAATAGAGGAGAAAGATACAAAGAAGAAACTAATATTTGTTAACGAGCATCGTGTCAGAATTGTTTCTGACGAGAACCGCTCCATCTTAAAATGTGCCGAAATGTGGCAGCTTAATGAATGAATAAATGAAAGCTAAAAGGAAGGATAACCGTTGCAAAATAATGGCATGCCAAAAAGAATCAAAAACAATTAATGGCATAATATAATATATCAAAAAGTACCCCTCCTATTCCCCTTTTCTTCACCATTTTACCTTTCTTCCTCATTTCTTAATTGATACAAGATTTCTTCCATCTACCTCTTCTTCATGTATCATTAACATTCTCACAGTAGGATACAAGGTGTTGATTGAATTAGTACAGAAAGCACAGCATGATTTTCAGAATACGAATGCTGCCGATAGTTTCCCAACCCACAAGTTGCACTTCTTGCTAAATATGAGCTGTTCGATCTCTTTATTTATTATAGATTTAATATATACTTCTAATCCCTTCCATTTCCAAATTTTCTTACCCGCTGAGAATTATTACTTTGCCAATCATATTTGCTTATTCATCTTCTCTTATATTCCTGTTTTAATGATTTCGTTTTTGTTCCCATGTTTGATATGGTATTTTCAGAGAGTAAGTGTCATCATCACCAACTGCTTAAAATTCACTAATTAAATCATCATATTGATTGATTAGCTTTAATTTCATTATTATTGGAATTTGAAAATATTAAACAAAGGAGGTAGTAACATATGTATGACATGGCAAGCTAGCGATTTGTGCAAAATGTACTTAACAGTTCAACAACCTTTTTAAGATAATTTCCGATGTGAAAAAATTAAGAGGAAAAGTGTGGAGATAAAAATGGAGAAATAATAAGGCGCCTCTTAAGAAAATCGTAACGTTCCGCGATAAGTGAGTAGATTTACATACCGTACTTTTGACGCAATTGTTATTTCTATTCTGTCGGAAATAATAATCCCTCTTGTATTTAGCTAATCTCATTTTCTCTCCCCCTAATATCAGAAAATACGAGAAAGAAGAAGGGACAGGAAGATTATCCATAAGTATTATCACACCAAAGGATCGTGTTTTTTTCTTGATTTTATTTCAATTGTTCATTGATGAATGAATATAAATGGAAATTGTAGAATGAAGGTGCGGTAAGGCTTTTGCATTATTATAACTATTATTATTATTCGAAATAGTTGAATAGGATTAGTAGCATTACCCTCATTTATTCCTCACTTCCCCCGCCTCTGTGAACCCGGCCTATTCTTTGAGGAATCTATTGTATATATTTTCTTCTATATATTCCTAATTCATGTATCCAACCATTTTTGCATAACAATAATCAATTAGGTTTTGGCAAATAAAATGAAAATGTCCTGTACAATACATATACAATATTGATAATGCAATAGGGACGAGATAATTTTAAGCGCTTTTTTATCTGATCCTTCTGCAATTAAGACTACTGATCCGAAAATTTGACAGACTAAAACATGCTGATGCAAATTAATTTTATTTCTCTTAAATTATTTTTCTTAGTTAATTCGTTGGGAAAGCATTAAATTAGGAAAATAGATAATAGCTATAATTGTTTGGGATCCTATTATAACGCAACATTTTTCTAAATAAGCTAATCACTTATCAACTAAGGATATATGGTTAATCACTATTTATATCTAATGAGCAAGTATCTTACTTCTCTTCGCTCCATTCAAACCTATGAAATATTGGTTGGAAAAGCATTAAATTAGGAAAATAGAAATAGCTCATAATGGAGTAGTGATGATTGAAGTTCATCCAATTACCGTCAAGGGAGTACTCATAGGCTTGCATTTATGAACTTGTTCATTTGTCCTTTTCATCATAGAGAGCTTATTGGTACCAATTGGGTGGATATGGGATGATTTCGTTGATTACTCTATTGTTGATAGCAGTTAACAGCTTCAAGCAATTTTCATTCGTTAAATTGTCACTTCCATTCTAGTCCTTTTCCTCCCCTTGTTCCATTATTGCTAGCAACAAATAGGCCTCATCAAATACAATTAATTAGCTTATTTAAAAAGCCTAGCGCTCTTCCTTTTCTCCTTTCTCCTCATACTCCCTAAAATCCGTTAATGAAATCACGACTTCGCAAAACGGCATCAACAAACATTTGATAACATTTGATTGCAATAGTAACAGCTGGTTGTAATCTTCCAGATTATCCAGTTATGCACTGGCTTTTCCTTGCCAGAACTAGGCTAATTTTTTTGGTATGAAATGATGTAAAATAGTACAGTAACTGAATAGTTTACTTAGTATAGTCGATTATAGTTACATACTGCAGCAGAACTCATCTAATTGCCGATGGAAAGAGTTTTAGCTTAACATTCGATGATTTACCTCTGGCAAACAAAACATACTGCAGCTTTTAAAAATTTTAAAGTTCTCCGACAAATCCACAAGCAGCTTTAGTGATTATCAATATATAGTACTATTCTTCAATTCTTCTTATTTACAGCTCTTTTCCACTTTTTTTGTAATTATTTTCTATATTTTAATTTTATTTCTTTAATACAGCGAATATCATCTTATAGCAAGAAATAAATTTAAATTTTTATAGAATACTTGAATTCATTTTGATTGATTCCTTACAGGCAATATTAATTAAAAATGAGATAAATAACTTTTTAATGACATTTCCCATTTTTATCATTATTTTTTGAAACTATGTCGATTTTTCTGGATTTGTAAATCTACATTTCTTATCGAGAAATAAATTTGCAATAATTTCCTTCATCTGCCAGCATCCTAAATTTTTATGCAAAAAAATTTGATTCAGTTTGGGAGCGTTAATTAGGAGGCATGGCTAGATTTATATTTCAAACGTGTGGTCATCTTTGAACGGAGTTAAGCTATTAGCCCGAAGTTTTAAATAGTCAAAATTTGTTGTTTAGGTATTTCTGCCTAAGATGATTTTTGGATAATTACCATTTCATACTTTTAACAATGTCAATATTGCCACAGTTCTGTAATGATCATTTGGATTTATATAGTACCATTAGCTACAAGAAATTTAAGTGAATGTTCAACGATCAAAAAAGATATTGATAAGTGTAAATTGGAATGAGGATAAATTTATAGTATTATTTTATCTGCACTTTACATGGTACGATTTTAATCCATTTGAATTGATAAATTCAATAATTCTTTGATATTACTTTGAAACAATTTTCCCACCTATCGACGTAATGCTCAAAATAGCATTGTTAATCGGATTTTGGTTAAAATGAAAAATTTTTCTTTCGTGATATAAATAATGATGATTAGTTTTTCTTTCTTTTCATTCATATTTATTATTACTATTTGACTTTGTTGTAACTTTAGGTTTAATTTAGGAGAAATATTTTATCGAAAATGAGGAAAAAACAGTCGTCCTTTCAAAAGATTTGGTATATTCATTGATGGCATAATTTGCTCCATTCTTCTTTGATTTCCATCTTTTATCCTTTCGATTTATAATATAACTGATATTTTTAATTATTTTCAACTAGCAATTATTATTGCTTGTATTCAATTTGTCCTTCTGAGTCGTTAGAAGCCTAAGGAAATGACTGAACACCAAAGAAGCGAGTGATATCGACCTTGAATAATGACAAGATTCTTGGTTATTGCAAGGAATTTATTATCACTTTTAATTTACTGCTCACAAATTAAACTATCTTGCTGTTATGGAATGAGAAGGGAAATTTATATATTTTTGAAAGAGAATGTCAGCTTTATGACGGGTGCATCGAAAATTAAAGGTAAAACTATTTGATTCGAGTTGTATATGTAAAGCTTTCTTCTTTTGTATATGACAGCTTTCTTTCTACTCTCCCCGCATCATCCGGGTTATAAGTCACTCGAAATATTTCTCTTCTGATTTATCGACTTCTTTCTTTTTTTAATAAAATCTATTAATCTGCGTTTATTGAAAATTTATTACTCAGAAAAAACGTTTTTCCATTTCACATAATTACTCTTGGCATGCTTCTGATCATCAGAGATTTTAGAAATTTCAAAAAATTATTGAATAGTTTTCTTCGTGTTATCGATAAAAGAGATAGATGAAAAAGATTCCCGAAAGGCGGTGATGACTCTTGATGACACCAGGAAAGGAGTGGTATCCGACAACTCTTGCATTTCATTGGTTCCTCGGAAAAAAAGAAGCTCCACCTTTGTCAAATAGGTTGATACATACTCTCATCTTCAGAACGACATCACCAACGTCCTTATCATCTTTATCATCATTATTGTTATTATTATCAACAACAAAAACAATAACGGTAAGAGATGTAATGATTATCATCTTCCTGTTCACTATCTCAGTTCAACATTTCATATTTTAAAGTGAATTTAATTAATACTTTTTCAGACTAATTAATTTTCGGGCATATTTAGATAAATGATTGATTATTCTTTAATTTTAGGGGAATTGGTTTCACTTTCGATTCATTTTGTCTAATCAACAATACCATTCATCTCATTTATCGATTATCTTCTTTGATTTTGGAATTTTCGTTGTGTCCAAAACTTGTCTTATTCGGTTATGCCTAAAACGCATGGTCTGTTCGACTGTGCACAAAACTGCAAGTAACATGAAGAAAGATACCAGTTAAAAGTTGCATTAACATCCGAAATCGTAATAACTTTTATTTGCTATTACTTATTTTACAACCTCCGATTATCAGGTTGTCCAGCCCTACAATTAGTGTTTTGTGCTTTTGGCTGTGATGCTGCCAAAAGATCTACAGCTAACTTGTGATGCAAGTTAGCCATAGATATTCTCAAAGGAAATGAATTGTTTGGTTATTATTGCTTTAATTGTTCGATCTTTACTGAGCAAGGCGAAAATAGGTCTTCTTCGTTTCTTTGATGCTTCCTTTTATTCTGCTACTTGCCATCAGATATCCAGAATCCGTTACTCGTATCTCAGCAAAAAATTTTTCTCAAAACATTTATTGAATTTCCTGGTATATTTGTATTGAATTAACAAGTAAATGAGATTAAAGTGAAGCATTTCTATGAGAAATAGGAAGAAAGGTTACGTCGTAGTTGAAGCAAGAAGAATTGATATGATAAACTAAGATTATGATATGTAAACAGTGCCCTTTCTCCTATTGAAAAGTAGAAAAAGACTCGATTCTATTATATTTCGATTATTTGCATTGCGAATCGATTTCCATCAACTTGCGAAAGTGTGCTATTCGTAATGGTGGCGTTTACCAAATGTACATTTCCAAAATGATTTTCGCTATTTCCATTCGTCATTCTCTAGCTTTTTGTCAAATCTATCAACAGATGATAATAATGTAAGAAGTAATGATAAATAGTAATAGAAATAATGACGAATAGTAATATATTCACGAATAGTACCTCATCAGCAATCAGTAGATATGCTTCAAATTTATCAATCTATATTCTTTTCCATCTTACAATTTCTATAAAACCTTGCTGGTTGTAGCTATAGTGCTCATCTTATAATAACTTTAGCATAACTTTTATCACAATTTATTTCGATAGCGAAATGAAAATTAATCATAATGGCATTTAATCAACTTTTAAATTAAAATTACTTTTCTCCAATAATACAGTATTGTATATAAATGTAATTATAATGGTAATAATAATAAAAGCAATCATAATGATATCAAAAACCATTCGGAAAAATAAATTGATTTTAGGATAAGAGAATTCTATTAGTGTTTTTAATTGCTATCGCTGTTATTGCACGCTGCGATTTGACCAGTTCCGTGAAATAAGCGAGAAGGGAATCAAATTTTTCCAATCATAAAATTTTCGACACAAATGAAATTTTTAATATGATGATTTGCCGCCGTTCATACTGTCAACAACGATTATATTTGCCGTCTAGTTGATTTGTTCATAGTTTATTTTGTCCCATCGTTTCATCAATATATACAGAGGGAAAAACAGACACACACACACATACATACAATATTCTATTGAAGATTCTGCTCAAAATATGATTATCTTTTTTGAAAATTCCTTTTGTTGGACAAGATTAATTTGAACTGCTTATTCGATAATGTTTTGCTCAGTTCGATGATTATCAGTTGAAATTGTCGGTCTATTTCTTCTTTTTCCGGTAAAACATAGCTTGCTATTCTAAGGGTGATGGGAAATTTAAATTTGGAGTGAAGGCAATCTCAGTCAGATTATGCAATTCCACCAAGAAAAAATGGAAACGGTATTTTCAGAATGGCATTGATCATTTTTATTTTTCAATCAAATTTTCATCAAGATAATCCCACGTTTACCCCAGTTATTGTATTGATTAATGTAATGAATTTATTAATTGGAGATGAAATGTTTACTGAGAGCATTTATCAATTGCATTTCCCATAATATGCTTATAATTATTCTAAGTAGAAATATATGTACTTTACTTTTTCTTCCCTTAAAAAATACCTGGATTCTATTGATTGTCCGATATGCCAGTATATTTATAGCAATAGCGTTAAACAGACAAAGTGTATGATCTATTTACCGCAAATATGTCCCACGTGATGCAACCTTTATACCACTCTCTTTAAACAGAATTCATAATCTATTACGAAAATTTCGAAACAACTCGAAACAAGTTAATTTATATTTATGGTAAAATGTATTGATTTATTAAATTAACTTCAATTCTTCAATTTTGTTAATGTTGAATGTGTGTTGATGTTGTAGTTAAGGAAGATAGAAAGGAGGTATATATTCAATAAAAGAACATCTATCAGAACATCACGGAATAAATGGGAATCCAGAAAAAAAGGGTGATGATAAGGATAGGAATGAATAATGGAAGGAAAAAAGGAATCAGTTAAAATACACATCATTTTCTTGTTCGAAAATAATTAAACGATTAGTTTGGAAGGATGAGAGTAAATTTGAAAAAATCATTTAAAAAATAATTTATAGGAATGTAAGGAAAAAATGAATCGCTTCTAGCTCGGTAATTTTGAAAAATATACATTTCCCCTCTTATTTCGCCTCCTCCTCCTCCTTCTTCCTTTCTTCTTCTTCGCCTCCTCTTCCTCTTCCTTTTCATCCATCTGTCATGAAGCACTGGTTGGTTACCATAATGAAGCTTTTATTTCACTATTTTCAACGAAGCCTTTCCTTTCCATCGTTTTCTTCTTTGTCATCTAATAAAAATATTAATCCATCTATCTGACTTGATCTATTCATGTTGCACTTGTCATCTCCTCTTTTCCCCGCACTGCCGTACCTCGTTTATAACACCCCTTAGTCAATTTTATTCCATTAAGCAATTACTCTAAAGCTGAGCTTGTTTTGAGATATTTTTGGAAAAGTGTTATGATTTCTTTTTTGGCAAATTTTAATCACTACCTTTACATGGGAAATTTAATAAAATAAATAGATATATTAGAGTAAGCTCAAATTGCATTTACTGCGACTTTTTGCAGGTGAAAAATGATAATGGACGGATAAAAGGGTTCAGGCTTACCAAAAATTGATCACCTTTCTTGCTTTCAGCAAAAGGCTATTTTCTGTTTAGCCAAAGGTGAGAATAAGAGTCCATACCAAAAAATGCTTGAGCCAATATGCAATCGAATCATTATTATTTATCTGTTGCCTAATTTATGTTAAGTAGGATGCATTTTTTGAAGTCAACAAATTGAATTCTTCATTTTCATTTCTTCCTATCGTTAGAATCAAATTCTTTTGAAGCGTGATAAGAGACTATTGGTTACTTCCAATTTTGGAAATTTTCTTTGTTCATGTGCTCGATAACAATAATAAATCTCGGGAAATATATCGCACACTCGAAACTCTTACTTCCACATACACATACATATATATACCGATGAACAAAAACTTACCATATACCCGGTTTTTTGCCAGCACTTCATCGAGCAACGCCCCTTTTGTCAATAATACGGAAACAGCAATTCATTGGAATATGTTTGCTGACAGCAAACAAAGTTTTGGGGAAACTTAAATGAAGGAGTTAGAAAGTAAAAAAAGAATGGATTTAGGATTCCAGTTGCTCTCACTCACTATTACTTTCAAATATCATCTGTGATTTGTGTAACAAATATGAATACCGCTCGCCGTTCTAGTCTGATATCAGCACTGTCGTTAATGTACTGATAAAAATAATTGCTTTACGAATAGCCACAAATATCCTCCATGGGTATTGCCATTTCAATCGTTCGAAGAGCGGTTTTGAGAAAACAAATTTTATAGCTTAAGTTTTTAAGATGATTTTATTTGGTGTACCTTAGCATTTAAGTAACGTAAAAGTTAACGCTCTCAAAATGAACGATTATGTTATGAAATCATAAATTATATGACATTCTTAGAATGGGCTACTCTTGTCATTCACCCAATCGTTGTACTATCAGTTTTGCTAGGCTGTTATTAGCTGGTCTGGACAACTGATATCTTTTATTAGCTTATTTCAGACTTCCGAAAATCCATCTTCCTTGATCGCTTCGTAAATAAGAGAAAATAATGAGATTTAGGTAAGATTTCGCTAATATTTACTCAGATTCTCAGTTCCTATTTCTATGTCTTCCCATTATTCAATTCTCCTTTTATTTATTATAATGCATCCCATGCAGAATTCGTATTCAAAGTAAAATAAATTCTTATCAGTAATTAATGATTTAACAAGCTTTCCATATTTTTTTCGATGTGAAAGTTGTAATCAATTTTTTCGTTAACCACGTTTGTTAAGAAACTTGGTATCTCTCTTAATTGATTCTAATAAGCTGCTCCTCTCCGGAGCATCATACTATCATTTTCATAATCTAAAATTATCCCTTGCAAAAATTTGCTATGAATTTGAAGCATACGATATTAATTTGAAAAGAAATTTTTATTTCATATCAACTGACATTCATTTCTTTTTGTTTAATATAATAAATGTACGTGAATTATTGCTCCCATCCTTTTTAAAGATTCTTGAATTCTAATTGCTGCTTTAAAATTTCTTATTGAAATGAAATGAAGAAACTGTTTTAAGAATTTGAAACTTATATGCCGAAAATTATAGTGAAGTAACCCCATCTTTGATGGGTTACTTAACTATAATGCTTAACTTTTAGTCGTTAAACTTTAATTCCTTATTTTGCATCCAGATTTTCAGAATTTTTAATTTTGAGAATTTCTAAAATAGGAGTTCTATAGAAATAGGCAAAATTGGCTAGTGATTGATGATCCATGATATTGTTATGCTTTTCACTCGTTTGCATTAGCAAACGCTAAAATCACAATTTCTAACTCTTTACCGTTCTTTTTCAGAATATTTCGTAAGTAATATTCAATGAATTCATTTTTTCCAGATGCTACAGATTCGGTTGTTGCAAGCACTACATTGGTAATAACTTAAACGTTTTATTACGTTTTATTAGTTTTATTACTGAACGTTTTATTACTGAAGTCATTCATAATTGATTAGCGAACATTTTTTATAAAACCATAATTTATCGAAAGCTAAAAAAATCCGAAGTCATCCGCTATTTACGTCTTCAGGCTTCCTCATCCTCATCATCGTCATCATCATCCACATCATCAATATTAACATCGGTTCACAATCGTCGACGTAAGTCGACATCACCATCCAGTCCAGAAAACAAACAATTGGAAGAATGCTGTGAAACAAGACGATTCCGAAGTACTAGCAATCAGGATAAAACTAACATCACCATTACTAGTAGCAGGAACAAAGGAAAAAATAATGTTTATAGTATAACTAAATTGCTGGAAAAAAAGGAACTGAATAACAGTCGAGCCAGGTCTGAAATATTTTAATAAGTTAAATTAAATATGTTTTTATTATATTGCTGGTATTTTGCCGTTTTTCATGATAGATGTTGACAGCTTATTCGGAGATGATTTTTTTTTCGGCCAAATTTAGAATTTTAACAAATGATAACAAGTCATTAAGCAACAACTTTCATTTGCAGCAGCTCATCGGCAAGCGATGATGATAATGCGGGAACCGGTCGGTGCCATTCAGCGGATGACGATGGCAGTCGGTTGGTTGACTAAATTAAAATTAGAAAAATATATTTGGATTTTCTTCAGAAAAACATGTGATAAAAGGCTAATAGACGAACAGGAAGAAAAATTGAAGCGAAATTGTTCTGAAGAAGTTTGAAGATGACTTCGCTTGTGATATTATAGAGATGATATCTGATTTAAAAGCTCGAATAAAGCTATTATCACTAAGCTTTCTTTAGTAATTCTTTCCTTTTTAGTAATCATCCTCCTGATTCAGGTGTACAGATCTGGCAGAATTCGGACGCGCTGTCACATGGCCACATTTTTTCACAGCTGGACCATCGGCTTTCACAATCCCTCACAATGCTAGTTCACTAATGGATTCAAGCTCACTTGCCAATGCTGTTGCTGCTGTCGCTGTTACCGCTGATGGACGGGACATATCTCAAGTCCAACAGATTCAGGTCAATAATAGCAACTTTTTTTTGCTAGAAAAATAAAACTTTTTGATATAAGATTGACGAAATGATATAATTGAAAGCTTTGACCCCATAATATTATGTAACCTTCAGTAATTCAATTAAAGTATAAAGCACAACTATACTTTAAATTATTACCATAAAAAATTGTGGCAAAGTTCTATCCTTGCATTTTATTTCATTTCACCCACTTCATTCATTAAGCTTAAATTACTCAAATTAAATAAAACTGAACTGCGCTGATTTCAGAATGCCTATCTGTCTTACATCCTTGGTACATCGATGACGGCTGCTGCTTCAGGAACACCAGTGATACCCCATCACCATCCCCTCCATATCATGGTAACACCATCTGATACTGGTACGTTCATTATTTTTTATCGGGTTTTTTGCACATTTTTAGTAAGCCGAAATTCCATTGCTGGTTTCTTCAGCAGATTTTAGTCTTTCGTATATTTTCGCTTTTTAAAAAAGAAACGGATTTTTCTAAATGAGTTCTCTATTCCCCGAATCTTATTATATTTGTTTCCGTTCGCACTGCAGGGGAACTTGATGATTTGAGATTGCTATGAATTAAATTGATTAAAAGTTTGATACTGTTCAATATATGTACAACCGTAGACTTCTATTCCTTTTTGAAATTTGAATATTTTAGAGAAAGTTTTGTTTTGAACCCTGAAATTTTAATTCATTTCATGAAAGATGGGGAAATAAGGTGAAATATAGGATGGAGGAGTTATAGAAGGGTGAAAACAAATGTTCTAACTAAGTGAATAAAAGGACAAGGAGATATATGCACCAAATTATGAATAGGTTAATTTGATGTTTTTGTATGTTTAAAGATGAATGAGCGTCACTAAACTATTTATTAAAAATTAATTTTCTAAAATGATTCATTTGATGTTCCAATTTTTCTTCTTCTTGTAGTTGTTGGTGTATGGGGTGGTTTCATTAAACCGTTCTTGAAACTGATTAATTTCCGTATAAATAGGATAGAATAGAAAAAGAATTGCCAATATATATATATCAATGATCTTTGGAACTAAATCCATATGTCAAAAACAAAAGTAATTACGTCTTAGCAGAAAGTTAGTTTATTAGAAGTAAATCGAGAGTATTCAGTTTTGGTTAGTTTGAAAACTAAACTTTAACAAAGATGAAGTTAAAGTTGTTCAGCAGTTTTTTATACTAATATTAAATGTCTCAAAAAAATTTTTCAATGTGCTTTTACTGAAATAAATTGTTTCTATAAAGAAGTTTCTTGAATTTTTATGGTATCGAAAATAAAATAACATAAGAAATCGACGAAATAACGACAGGTGGAGGGAGAAGGATATCCTGGAATTTCGTGCATTTCGTCAATATTGTATTTTTTTTTAAAAATTAATTGACAAAATCAAAATTTTATGTAAGGCATGTAAAGGTAAAAGGATCTTGAAAGGTAATATTTCCTTCTCGTTGATGAATTATTGACTTCTTCATATATCCACGTAACTTCTACATGATTCATTCTCTTTTTAGTTTAACAATATTCAAGTTCTCTCTCTTCTCTTCATCTAAATTTTCACGAGCAATCGTTTTTACTAAGCATACAGAACGGAGTTGCTAATTGAAATACAGTACACTGGAAACTTTGATGAAAAATTTATGTATGCATGTTTGCCTCCCTTCTTTCCTCTTCTCAATAATTCTCTTCCTCTTCCTTTTTCTCAGTAATTCCCTCTCTTCCTTTCCTTTGTATGAGTGTAATGTTTTCTCTCTGTCTAAATGGACTCTGTCCGTCGATCCAATAAGATTCCGGTAGATTGTTTCGTTTTTTTATAGTTTGTAACTCTGAGTGTTGGCAGCACTTGTGATGGTTGGATGATATCTTATGGGGAAGATGATGTAAAGTTTGAGGACTGACAAGTGGCAAGATAGCGTAACGTAACGTAACGTCGTATGGCATGACGTGACGAGATGTACCTGTCATTCACGCTGTTTTCAATTTCTTTTTTCCTGCATACCAATGCTCTTCATTTTCTTCCATTGCTCTTTCCCAACATCTGATGGGAAAGAAATCTTTGACAATAAATAGCAAAATTTTTTCAAAAAAGAGCGAAGAAAAAGAGGGGCAGGGGAGAGCAATACAGGGCGGGGAAGTGCGGGGGAATTATTCATGTCGTTTAGTTTCTCATCGAACGAACATCACTTATTGTTAATCCGGTACAAGTGCAGTAATAATGGTTTCAGGCTTATTTAGTTATAAAAAAGTGTGTGAAATGATATTTTACTTCTTCTAGGTAGGTACAATAAATTTATTCCGATCATAGTTATCTCTTTAGCACTGCCTGATGAATATTTTCTCTACCGCGGTATAAAGAGTGTATCAACCTAATCTTCATATTATATTTAACGTTAAATTTTCAGCTTTAAGAGAGTGAAAAAAAGAAAAATATTCCATTCAGAAATCATCTCAGTTTTGACGAAGAGCTTATTCACTGATGAGCTTTCCTTGAATTAGACATCAAAAATTTTATCTTAAAATTTCAAGCTCCTCGTTTATTCAGGTGATTTCTTATATGGGTACTATAAATATTAGAAGTATATAGTTATACCATATATTCATATTATAAGTGAAGTGTATGAGTATAGTTTTTAATTTTACTCATTTATTGGAATGTTTGCATTAGAATATTATCAATGAGGAATAATGCATTTCGAAGGTAAAAATAAGTCTTTGCTCTGAAGTTAAAAAAATAATTAAAATTGACTATTTCGTGCATATATAATGATGATTTACTGCCTTCTCTATAAGGTGGCAATTTCCGGAACTTTTCTCACCAATTATATATATTACATCTTTGATGTGCACATCAATATTCTGTAATTGAAGCTTTCAAAACTAAAATAATTCCGCAATCTAATATATTTGTATATTCTTTTCAGAATATGAGAAAATCTTCTTTCATTATTTGTCAGGGAAAATATTTAATAATCTTTTTTGCATATAATTTTTGTTTTGAATTTTTGCATTTTAAAAACACCAATTACGAAATGTCTGAAAAACAAGAGAAAAATAGCGAAACTTATTGGAAAAATCCGTAGAAAGGAAGGGATTTAATTTCTTTCAAATTGAGCTTCATACTGTTATTAATAAGTTATAAGTTTGAAAGGCTTAATTGGTCTGCCATTATTGATGAGATTAGGTGCTGGAAAGTGGTTATAGTGATAAGACTCATTCAGTTTTCATCATCAACTTGTTAAGACGACGGCATGCTTGATTTTTAATTCCTGAGCAATTTATATCTAAGGTATATTTGAAATGAATAAGGGCAGAAATCAGCATGATACTTTCTCTTTGGCGAATGATGTCGAAATGATTTCCACGAATGAAAGGATGAACTCAAACTAACTGACATTGGCATTCATATATTTTTTTCGCCCACAATTTCAAATTGGAATGGTGGAAAACTTCTAAATGGTCAAAAATTGTGGCCATTAAAATAGTTAACTATACTGAATAATTTAAAATATTTCCAACAAAATTTATTAATCTTTTATTTTCAATTATTGAAAATAAACCAAAAGGCGCGGAACGATACGAATCGTTTTAGAAAGACTTCAAAAAAAATTGGTATATTATTAATATATCCTATAAGACTGGAAATTATTTAAATGATTTTATTAGTATTTGTTTAATTTATAGCTAAATTATTTGTAGTAAAAAAAAAGTTTTTGCATTCTTTTTTGAAAAGATAACAAAATGAGTTGGTTACTTTGTCATACTTCTCAATTAGTCGGAATAAGAATGGCTGTCAGGAGCACGTATTGATTAATATGGAACACATACAAGCAAAATTAATCCATTCTCATTTTAATTGCATATCATTACGTTAGCATATATTCAATCATTTCTTTTGTTCAACATATGTCAACTTCAGCTTCCCCCCAGAAATTAAATTCTTTTTGGAAAACGACTTAGTATTCTTTCTTTTCAGCATATAAGTTGATAATTTTGCCTTGATTTGCTTAATTTATATTTTAAGATTAATGGCAATTAAGTTAAACAATCAGAATGAATGCATTAAATCTGTTTTAGCTCACACACGATAATTATAAAGCAACGAAATAGCTGAACAAATAATTTTATTGCATATTTTTGGGTGTCATCTCTGCATCCTTTGCGCCTTACACTTAAACTGTTCGTTATGCGGTCTCTTTTAGGTTAGCACAAGTCAGCATATTCGATGATGGAAAGGGATAGGGATGGAAAATATCGGCGACATTACGCATTCCTTTCTTTGTGTCCTCATATTTCATTAAAGACAATTTATTTGAATGATTAAGGGAAACATATATCTCTGATTGTCGAATTTCGAAGTTTCTTTTCTTAATTAGCTATTTCATGTAATTAATTGCGTTCCCCCGAATCAACTTTTTAAAATCGTTCATCTTAAAACATGAAGTAATTTGTTCTGTTTAAAACTGATTGGTTAAGGGCTTTTCGATTCGATCAAAGTATTTTACATAATGTGTATTATCATAATTTTAACAAATTATCAAATTTAAAACTTAATAAAAAGTAAGTTTAGTAAAACAGAAATAGAATAGTTAACAAATATCATTGTACAGTTTAAAAACGAATCAATAATTTTTTTAACGGATCACATATGAATTGAATTTAATATTTTCCACTTTTTTGATTTGAAAAAATCTAATTTGAATTCAGTATTCTAAATTTTTTTGCAAATAAAAGTTTTGAGCTATCAAAAAAAATATTTTCTAAATGGAATCTTCCATCGCTTACTCAAATTCCTATGTAATTTGATCCTATTTTTCTTCGCTTTGAAAATTTTGTAAAATTGCTTTAAACTTAAGGCCAAAATGTTTTGCGACAATTTCAGTGACAAGGCCAGGTCCATTCGGCCTCTTCCAACTTCCAGCAACATCAACCTCTACAGCGGCCGATGTTGTTCGTTTATCAACAACTCCCGGACCGAATTCCATGTGTTTGTCACCAAATTCTCTATCTTTGAATAAGAAGCAGTCAAGACCCACATTTACTGGTCATCAGGTTAGTTCTTTCCTCCCTGCCTCATTTGGCTATTCTCACTGCAGCACCTTACTTAAATCGTTCCAAAGGTTGGTATCCATTTTCGCTTCCGCAAATACTTTTTTCAAAATATGCAAAATTCGAATTTATTCTGAGTTCCAAAATATGTTATAGACGACGACGACGACACGACGAACGTTTACTTTTTTTGTATTCCTTTCTAATCTCATCTCTCATTTGACCTAGTCATTTCGTCCGTTCCACTAATAACATCAGGTAAATCAGTCTAGGCACATGAACGCTTTTTACACATAATTTTGCATTACAATCGCACTCCATGCTGTTTTCTTCTTTTTAAGATTTTCATGTTGGAGAAGAAGTTTGAGCAAACGAAATATCTGGCCGGATCGGACCGGGCTCAACTCGCCCAAGAATTGAGCATGAGCGAAAGTCAAGTGAAAGTAGGTCATTTTAGTTAATGGCTAATGGAATTTTTGACATTATTGGCCAAATTTCACGAAGTAAAAGATTTCAGTTTCTTCAACCAATGAAAGAAGGAGTGGTAAAATTTTTTAATATTTTCTCTGCTTGATGTTTATATTGTAAGTTTGTGGTTAATGATCAGATGTCCCAAATGATGGTAAACAGAATTGTTTCTGTCATTGAAACGAATCTTTTTCGATAGATTCTATTATGAATCTAATTTGGGAAACATTCAAGCGCTATCATTCAACCAGAATGATTTAAATATGATCTTGTCAATTTTATTTTATTAGTTTTTTCACCAAACAGTTTTTGCTAAGTTTAGGATTTTTAATTAATAAATAATGATTCATTAATTCATCAAGCTTCATTAAGTTCGTGGTTAAGGCACTGTGTAAAAAATTAATAGAATTCACAAATTGTGTAAGAAACGATGAATTGATTTTATAAAAGACAGCAAATTTCATAAATTTATTTCCCATCAACTGTTGCATCTTAGGGAAGAGAAGTAATACAAAGGATAATAAATACATCTGTCCATACAAACAGATGTTTGCATAAATTACTGTCATATGCCGGAAGACATCAATGAAAGAATGATTAATTACAAGATAACATCTCTATCGAACCCTCGAAATTGTCATTCTTCTCCATATCTTCAACATAGAAATTAGTTTTAATTGAAAATATTCACAATTTGAAGACACGTCAGCACTGTCGAATAATATGTGTCTTTTTTAGTGATTACAAGTATTATTAGTTTCATAATAACCCAATCTATTTATTCTATCAATTTATTCTCATCCACAATTAATTAACAGTATATCCAATTTATCTTTTGAAGGATATATATTACTTCTAATAGGTATTTCTTCAATAATTATTTCTCATATACAACTGCGGTATATTCCATTTATAATTTTAACCATTTTAGAGATTCTGAGGCAAATCCGAAATTTGTATGATTTTCATCAGGGATAATTCCTAGTGTAAGGAAATCTGATGAAGAGTTTATTGCTGAAATTTTGTTGATAAATTTAATAATATTATTAGTTTTAGTTAGAGTGATGAGATTGAATTATAATTTTCATGCAAACGATGTAAATACATCAACATCGGCAACTATTCAGTGGTTCTTGTAATATTCTTTTTCAACTCAGTTCGTCGTAGAAGCAGAGATAGGAAAGAGAGAATTTATTGCGATTCAGTTCAATTCAATTCAATTCAATCAACAATTTGATCATAATTCGGCGCTCTATTCATCACCCATTCATATCGTTTCTCCCTTTGGTTATATTTGTGCGATACGTTATCTATCAAATTTGCTATTTTGCTTGAATAGAATAAAGGTAAAGGGAAGCACCGACAACTCCTTCTTCTCCTCTTTATTCTTTCTTCCGTTATACGGCATGTATATTTTATTGCAACATTCTGAAAAGTAATAGCAAACTGAATAAACGAATGAATATGAATGAATGACTAGATGAATGGATGGATGGATGGATGGATGGATGGATGGATGGATGGATGGATGGATGGATGGATGGATGGATGGATGGATGGATGGATGGATGGATGGATGGATGAATGGATGAATGGACGGATGGATGTACGGATGGATGTACGGATGGATGTACGGTTGGATGGATGGATGGATAGATGGAAGAAATGTTGGGATAAATGAGGAGAGGAAGAGAGGGAATTAATTTTCTGCTATCCAAATTTATTTATTTTTTCAGCGAGTAAAATTCTAATTTGGAAGCAATAAATATAAAGAAGTAACTTGCAAGAGTTCTTATTCCAACTTTAAAGAAAATTCCTTTTATTTTAAAAAATAAGAGAAGCAATTTAAAAAAGAAACAAATGAGATATTAATGAATGAGAACACATATTAACAATGAGAAACCCTTTTGTGTTTCATATCTTGTATAAGTACAACTTTTAGACAATTGCTATTTCTATAACATTTTAGAATTAATTGATCTTTCAGCAATGGATAAACATTTTTAAGCGACAATCTTTTAATCTAAAACTGATAACTGAAATCCAAAAATATTCATCTTTCTTTTTCTCTCAAAGATATTCAGAGCTATCATCGAGCTATCATTCTTCAGATCGTGATAATCAACTGAGAGCAGTTGTTAATACAAGTTATTTATCGTTTGGTATTGTAAGAAAGTTATAATCATCTCACCGTCAGGAAATACTCAAAAAACAAATGAATGAGTGACTACTTGATTTTATTTGAAACCTTTTGATTCACATCAGTCTTTTCTATCTTCTTATTTAATTTTTTCTTGAGAGAGAGAGCTAAGTAGATAGTATAAAATACGAACATTGTCCATGATTTACTAAACTACTCCGATTTTGCCTAATTATAAATTATCAGTGAGAAATATTTCGAAATAATTCATTTTGAATTTGCAAAAATTAATTCATATAAATGACGATCATAATCATATGACATAGTTTGAGGCTAAAGTACTAGTAATAATTAGCCCTGTAATGATAATGATACGATGTTTAGTTATGGATTACGGTAGGCATATAAATAACCAAATTAGCTTTTTAATGTAATCCTAGACCACAATCTATTCTAAATTAGTATTTCATCGAGATGAATGTCCGGTGGTGCACTGATATAAATTCGTTTTTATCTAATCATATTCTATAATCTACAAATATTTTTCATTTAGGGGAGCTTGAAAATCTGAATTTTCCTAATTGAACGTTGAAAAGTTATACATGAAGATTGAGAAGTGAAGAAAATAGTATCAGAAATGAAAGAAAGAGAAAAAAATTGTAGATTGCTATTTATAGTTTCCCATTTTTGGTCTCGTGGGTAAAATTTAATTTCGAATTTGATGACTTACCATTAGACAGTAATATGTAAATGTTATCTTTTGCCTTTCACAAATAGACTTTTAGGGATGGAAGAATGAATATTTTCAGTTAAAAAGAAGAAGAGAAAAAGAATGAAGCATTAAAAATGTTTTCATCTCATCTTATATCATTTCATTTTATTTTATTTCATTGTCTTCCATAAAACAAAATAATTGAAGAAAAGATGAAATCATCGCTAAAAACACATCGATTGTTTATCTGAATATTATTACCGTGAAAAATTCTTATTTGTAAATTTTTGATATTTTCTCTAAACTTACCAAGTTGTACTTTGTTCAGGAGCACATCGCGGATATCAGCTTGCAGCTTATCTTAGGATTTCAAAAAAACATTTTTCATTCTTTCTTCCATGCTTACCTATTTATATGATGATATCATCATAGTACCGTCAATCATAAAGATCGCAATTCCAGGTTTGGTTCCAGAATCGACGCACAAAATGGCGCAAAAAAGAGGCAGCAGACAATGCGTTGGTGAAACGTGGCGAAACGCTCGATTCTACGGGACATTCACAGCATTTACATGGCCTGACATCGTTCTTATCACCATCTAGTTAAATCACGCGTCAATCCAATTTACTCTTTCATCATTTGACTCTCTGACAAAAATGGTTCGGCAATAAACTCCAGGTTTTCGGCGATAACACGATGGATGTAAACTTAAAGAGACTGATTCTTAGCTTATTTCCGTCTTGTTTCTAATTTCCTCTATATCCCACCACGTCAACCAATCTTTGAATGTATGTGTTTTACACACTTCAATTTCTTCTTTGTCTAACTGATATTCTATAACTGATTTTTATTGATCAACTTAATTATAATTGTGGTATAATACCGTGATCTCGATACTAATCGCTATTTTGCATATTATCATCCTTTAATTGTCGTCGAGTTCCATTTGATAAAAAACTTCTATGATTTACATAATGTCACGTGTAGTGTATACGTTTACATTCGTGGTTGTGTTTTCTTCTCTACGCTTTCTTTTGTGTATTCAAGTAATATCCCAGTTAAATGAAATACTTTCGCTTCATTTTCAATTTTTTTTTTATTAGGCTTTCAATTTAATTACATTCATTTGAAAGTATACAAAAGACATTCACTATAATTATACAAAATACTTTTTCTACGATACGCTCAAGAGCTTACCTTTTCTTGTCATCTTTGTGCTATCTTTTTTCTCGTTTTTAATTCATTTATCGCTGAAGCTATGAGAAATGTTTTCAATAAAATTCGGCTAAATTGTTGATTGAAAATCCCAGAAAACATTCATCTAATTCAATCATTTCGATAAAGACATGTTTCAAAATTTTGTAATTTCTTTAAACCTGCAGCTGGATGTTATTTATAACTTAAGATTTTCTGATACCTTATAAATAGAATAGCTTTAAAATAACTGCCGAAAATGTGCAGTTTGCTTGTGCAATAACAAAATGCAACAATTAGAATATATTTTGGTGTTATTATTACAGGTGTTTAACATACAAATTATAGAAATAAAAAAGTCTTCTGTGATATATCGTTATGATTAGTTGGGGACAATATAATTTTTCTTAATATTTTTCCGATTTGTTTGGTTTCCTTATTTTCGGAAAATTAGATGCATCCCCAATCAGCCCCAATTCTACTTTCTATTACATTAGAAATAGCAACATTGGGATAATACAAATTAATGAAAAGCGTTTGCTCTTAAGATAAATTTACATAAATCAAAAGCTTTTGTTGAATTGGGATTGCATAATTGTTATTAATATAGGACGAGACTCTCATATAATGAATAAGACCTGAAACGAATGTTGCATAAATGATTCGATCAATCAGTTCTGATTGTAACAATGTCATTTTTTTTAAGAAACGATTTATTTCATGAAATAAAACAGAGAACAATATTTAGCACAATTAACGAACAAATTAAGTGCATTCATATAAGTTGCTTCACCTCCTTTCTTACCTTCAATAGCAGAACTTTTTGGAATTTTCATTGACACTTTTCGTGAACATTCCTACAATTTGTTAAAATTCATCTTAGCACAATTATGCTTTCTAAGATCTTCATGAAAAATATAAAATCAGCTAAAGTGAAAAATCAAAGGAAATAGTATTATCTCAATATAATTTCGACTTTCTCTTTTAACTTCTCATCTTATTTCTTCTCATCCTTCAATATCCTTAAATATTATCACAATGTGAACTGCAAATTTTATCTATCCATCATTTCCGTGGTTCATGCCAAACCATTGAAATTCCCAAACATTGTTTCTTACATACTAATTGATAAGTCATATTTGTAAAAATCATTAATTATCAATTTTCTAAATTTTTAGTTGACAACTAAGAAATTCTTAATTTTTCAAAAAAATTCTTAAATAAAGCAGTTTTTATTCAAAAAGTACTTTTGAATTCCTGGACTGCAAATTATCGGTCTGCCATTCATTAACACCACCATCATCGTCGTTGTCTTCTTTTACTATTTCTTCAGTCCTTCGTTCCTCACATTTAAGTGATGCATATCTCTTACGCTCCTATCAACATTGACTTGCCTTCAAAACTTGCCTTCATGATGGTTCATGCACATCGAGACTCTCTCTGTAACCGTTTGTTCAGAATTTGGAAAATATCGCTTCCGGTCTGAAGCTTGTTTAGAATTACCAAATTATAAAAGCCATGGCAAGTTAACATTGTATTATAAACGCTAAGAAGAGTCATTAGCCGACAATTTTAGAATCGAAATAGAAACTTCGATCCAAAAATGGCACACAGCATTCTCAGTTTTCTCCTTAATTCTGAATGTTTCAGTAGACGAGTTGGAATGCATCGTAAATTGGAATTCGTTTGGAGCGAAATTTCTCGGTATGCGCATAAATATCTCTTCGATTGCAGTACGAAATATTATCTTCCGATGTCTTGTACGATTCAGTACTGTTTTTTGAAAAGCATTGTTTGAAGAGTATTTATGTTAGAACAGAGTGGTTAATCGACAGCATATTAAGAACTAAAAGAGGGAACAGAAATGAAACAGGATTCATCGACTGGGCAAATTTACTTCAGAGCGAATGGTATTCATCACGGAGACAGTTATCCAAATTCTCACACTCACCCATCAGTGAACTCACGCATTTCAACAAAATTTCCAAATCTCATAAATGACCAAAATGTTCGGGTCAAAATCACTAGCTTTCTGTCTGAAAAAATTTTAAGGTTAGTTTCAAATACATTAGAGAACAGTATTCAGTGTTTATATGGGTATATCAGCTGATTCCAGATGCCGTGAACTAATGGATCTTGATTGTGCTGCAGTTTTTAACTTTCTTATTTTCTTTGTTTCAGGAAAATTCCAAATCTGTCCAATGAACCAAGTTGGGTTTAAAATTCTAAAAATTTCAAAATTATAATCTATCGAGAATTAAAAACATAGAAATTGATTAAAACATTTTTGAGGTTCACTCTTGAAATCATATTGCACTTTCCATCATTTTGGAATACAGCCATTCATCCGGCAAGAATAAGCGGATACCATTACAATAGGGTCAATGAATGATTTCTATTCTGGTAAACACATTAGAATTTTTTCGTTGGAGATTCTAATTACCGAAATTTTGAATTTTCTATTTGAATTTGTTTTACTGTACATTCTATGGATTTTTCCGACTGGATAGATCCCAAAATGTGTCAAAAATATAAAAGCAAACCAAGAATAGTGTGGACAATGGTTAATCAATATTCATGTCTGGCTACTGATATGATGCGGAATTTAGATAAATGGATCGAAACGACGAATGGCGTGAACCATACATACCACAACGTTTACAAGTAGAAACATTGTGATATCGTATGATTGGTAATATTCATAAGATTATGGCATATAAAACGACAGAGCACGCGCCAACGGATACCAATGCATCAAAGTATAATGTCAGCTGTCATATTCCTACCGATACTTCCACAAAGAAGGAAGGATCCTTTTCACTGCGATCGGAGTGATACGCTACCGTCAATTTTTCCCAGTGATACCAAATAGCGAAGTAGCAAACCAATCATGAATTCTGTAGGATTCACTAAAATTACGCGTGATCGGGTTGCGGCGTTGTGAAAAACGCCATTCCAAAGCCTCTAATATGTCACGGATAGGAAGGGGTTGATAACACATTTGTGTGGGTTTGTTTGAAATCGAGTCTGGAAAAGGAATGAAGCAGAGAAACCTTAAAATAAGTCTGAATTTTGCAGTTTGTTAATATAAATTTAAAGTTTTTATGAAAAAAGAGATAATTTCATCTACATTATATATAAATAAATACTGTATATAACATGTATATCTATACTATGTATATACTATTATATATATTCTACTCATGGCTGATACAACAAAATCTGATATCAAATATTCAATCAGTCTATAGCATGAGTGATAATTTGCTGAAAATCTGATAGTATATATATGTATGCCAAGGGCAGGATAGCTTTCTCTTCACCGGATAATGCCGTCATATCATTTGTTTTTATTGATGAAAATGAAAGATTTAAATATTTTGCAGTTTTGCTAATTGCATATATTTTAAGTGACCCGCCGTCCAATTCAGTCGATATTTCATCAAATTATGTGCTAATTCCGTCGCACAATTTGATTGCACTTATGATCACAAGTTAATTATGGATCTCAACTACAGTAATACTTCATCCATGTATAGCTTTGTCGCCTTTTAAATCATTTGAACATAAGTCGGTATGAATCATCCCTTTTTTCTACCTATTCCTCTCTTTTTTTCTCCCTCTGTAAAACTTCTAACAAAAAGTAAGAAACTATTGAATTTTGTTGTCGTAATGCAATGATGTTCATATGCTTTGTAGTACTGGCTTATCAAACGTTTCAGTCTTAATCACGCCTAACTTTTGAATTCAGAAAACATTAAAGTCTGAAGTTACTTAGGAAACTGTAGTTCTTCAGGTAATTGCAGATTTTAATGTAACTAGTTGGTATTTGGAAATGTGATAGATTTATAAAATATAGTGGTGCATATAGAGCTGTGAAATGTTTTACTATAGAGATATTCATCTGTGTTGGTCATTGGCATGAAAACGAGATGCTATATATTATAAACAGAAAAGCGATCTCATTGAAGTTTCTATATCATGTGAGCATCTGCATATTAAACTTCACTACCAATCTTTCTTTTCATATTCCTCAAAGTCTGTTGTCCTGAATTTATGTTCATCTTCACAATATTATTGGATAATGACGTCATAATAAGTTTTGGAAGTGGCATTGTATTGGTCATGTTTCTATGATTATCCTATCGTTTCTTAACTGCTGTCTTCACTACTTTACCCTCTAGCTCGCTATTGAAACATACCATGAGTTCAAGCCAACATGGTCCTATTTCTGGGGCAATGATATCTGGTGTTCAGTTGTGTCTTCATAATTCTGAGCTTCATATAGTACATTTTATTTATACATTACATTAACTTCATCTGTAGAATATAACTCATCTTTGCGTACATCCATGTTTAGATCTACTTATCTCCTGTTGTCGCTTATCATGTCATTCAGGTTTTTCAGAACAATCTCATCCCTATCATAACTTCACATTTGCAAAATATGGTGTGAAATCCATGTTTTCTAACAAAATTTCTGTTCCATTTAAATGAACACAAAACATTGATTTATTAAATTTAACTCAGGGTATTTATAATGCACGTTTCTTAATAAAATCGAATTCGGATATCTCGCCGTAATATAAATAAATAACAACATTTGGATCAATTGAATTAATTTAAACAGGTGGATGTGAAGCTTCACTTTAATTGTGTTGGATATCATTCTTAGAAGCGAACTTTACACATCTGCTATAAAGAATTTTCAAACTTTGCACATCTGCTATGAAGAATTTTTAATTTCAAGTAGTTGTTTCCCTTTAAATGAAATTAGCAAAAAGACTGAAATTGGTTCATTATTGGCAACTATATTCTATTGTCATCTGTCGTAATTTCTTATTCTGATTGCTTCGGATAGTTGTTTTGTTCTTTTGACTATTTTGCTTACTGCATTATTGAAATGAGGTATGGTTTTTAGATGACCATAAAATCGACCATATTTTTATAAAAACTGAAATTTTCGTTTTTCGCATTATAGAACGACAATTTCTGACAATATTTCACATTGTAATGATCAGTATGAAGAAACAGCAGCAAAATACATTAATGATTGCAATAAAAAGTTGCACTTTCTTTTCCATTACGAATAAGCAAAAGTTCTTCCCTCAGATTAAGATGGCATTTCAATGGAAGTAATTCTCATCAACTTATATGTGAATGACGAATAAGTAAGCTTCTTCTCGCGCAAGCGTAAGCGTGATATTTAGCATCTTTTTCTTTTCCGTTCCTTTCATAAACCATGTTTTCAATGAGGGAATGGAATATATTATGGATACAAATTGGAGATACTCATAGTATGTTTTTTATTCGACGCATTCGCGATGTATTGGTTGAGAGTGTTGAAATCATTTCTTAAATCAATCACTTATCATCCATTTGGTTTAATAATATTTACTACTATTAAAAATTTGAAATGAAATAAGGGAACCCTGAATGTTGATCACTTACGATGATTGATTTATGTTATTATGCATTGAACAGAGAGTTTTGTTTGAAGAAATAAAGTGAAAGTTAGTCAGATTTTTGTAGTACGAAGGAAAAGATTGGTGAATAAATGTTATTACGGTAAAGGGATGTGACAGGCAAAGAATTGGTTCTTGTTTAATCAAAAATTTTTCATTAAAAAAGAATGAAAATTTGGACAGAAAAATTTTTAATTAATTTACATTTCGATCGATGCGTAGTAGGAAATTATCGTGTTTTATAGGTGAGGCAGAGCTGTAAGTTCGTACATTTATCTGTTTCTTTTCAGCCACCATTTTTAATGTTTAATTTCATGCGAGCCATATCGATCGGTCAACTTAGAATGAAAGAGTACTGTATGCGCCGCTACCTTACTCATAGGTGATAATTCTATCTAATTTTATTTTTAACAGGTTCAATCAATTGAGAGAAAAAAAAAACAGAAGAGAATGAAATGCATTCCAAAGATTCCGTGATCCATCCGACCAGAGAAGAATGGCTGTTCTTTAGCGACATTGGGCTACCGATCTTTTTTCACCTGCAGATTTTGGTTGAAACACTATAAAAAGAACTGATGACAAAGGGGGTGGGGGCCCGATTATATCACACGATAACACATTCAATCATCATCATTTCTTTTCACACTTCTCCGATCGAACTTAACTTCTCAGCATTGTTGTAATTATTATTATCGCTTTTACTACTAATTATCGTATTATATCAAGATTGACAATCTTAATCCTTATTTCGCCTTATGTTACGCAGGAATGACAATCGTATGAGCAGTGGAAAATTTCGAATGATACTTTTATGTCTAAATATTGTTCCAAGAGGCTTCATTAACGAAATTGACAAAAGATATTTGTTATTTAGTAACTGATAACTTCATCAATAGGTATATTTTTAACGTTCTTGAAATTTGAGCGTTTAGCCATCTTTGTTTTTCCTTTTCCTCCACAAAATCAGTCATCAAAGTTTCTAATGCGAATAAATTGCTTCATCTTGAGAATCTGCAGTGTTTCAAAGCAAATATTTTAGGAAGTGGTTATATCTTCATCAGACATAATAATCAATCACGGAAATATTGGATTTGGTGAATTTATTTAGTGAATCCGTTGATTTCCATGCGCAACCGAAGAATAGTTATAGGAGTGTCGCATTCCTCGGTCAGTGTAGGAACAAATCGGCAGTTTCATATACTAATAGTTAATATTTTTTTGATCCAAAGTGGTTCATTTGGTTAGAAAGAAATCGGAACTTTCTTATTTCTTCTATACCATGCTATTCTTTTCATGCTTTCTAGAAAATAAAAGTGAAAAAAGAAAACTCCTTCAATGTTTTTTAAATATGGAATCTGAATCAATAATATGTAAAGTTAAGGAATAAATATAACTGAGTTGTCGGAAAAAAATGAATGATTTGTTATTATGACGGTACAATCTTCGTATAGCAAAACATATTAAGCCTAATTAATTACATTAACCAATATATTGCTTGTGGATTATTAATATATTGCAGTGAAAAATAGACGGCCTATCCGACCTAACAGCGCCCAAATTAAGAAATTTTTACTGAATATTACATGAATGAGAGATGAATAAATCTTTTGCAGATGGACGTCGAATCATTGATGGAAAAGTAGTGAATGGTAAAGAACCGCACGAGATGTGGTGTAATTTGCTAATTAATTTGTTCATAAAAAATATTGCAAGACGTTCTGATGTATTTCAAGACATTAGAAATATACACGAACGGCGAAATGGTTTGTTTCTATGAATATTTAAGAGCAATTGAGTTATCTTTTCTTTTTTAAACAAAGGAAGAATAGAATTGTGGAAGTCGTCTAGAACGCCAGAAATAAAAGCATCCATGAACATCATCTTAGAGGATAGGAGAATATCGCCTCTGATCTTTGACATTGACAAAAACAGCCTTAGTTTATTGTAAGCGTTCTTGATGGAGTGTACGGTAATTAAGAATTGAGCTGAATGCTTATTCAGAACTTTCGGTGACCTACGAAATGCAAAGTAATTAGTTCAAATCTATTTATTCTAGTGATTATAGCTTTTATTACTCACTGACAGTGCCTAATGATCGTAGCTACATGTACATGTTTTGCAGATTCAGCAGAGACTCTATCCATAAAAATGATACCATGATGAAACCGATTCTTCCAAAGGATGCGCTGGATTCGGAAGCGACAATGTTGACAGCAATGTCTAATTCAAAGAAGAAACAAATTATGGGGAACAAAATGACCAGATTCAATGGAAATAATGAAGACGAAGAAACTTATTCTGATTGAAAAGACAACTAAGAATATCCAAGAATAGTAGATTGTAACATATTTATCAAAAACATCCCTAGTAAGGTTTCAAAAACGGTACAATACGTTTCTTATCGTTGCAATCATTGTTGATATTACAGTAATATCTTTTCGCTTTCAGAGAACATTTGACAAAGTGATAAGAACAGTAAGCCATTGAGCTTGATGAAAGAGGCTGTCGAATGATTGTTCTCTATGCTTCATTTTATTCACTAAATAGTTCAGAATGATTGGGTTCAGCACCAAAAGATTAAAGATTGTTTATGGTCTAAAAAATCGTTTAAATTATTTAGAATTAGATTCGAACAAACCATATCAAGGAATTGTTAGGTAAACTTTACTGGATTTATGGTAGAAAGGAAATAGAACCTCAACTTCTATTTTCTCTGATTTTTACATCTGTTAGAAATTTAGAACAGACGGCAAGCAGAATGAATATAGTATTTCGTCTGATCTACCAGCAATTTTGATGAAAATGCCATCTTCCTTCTTTTCTTTTGTATCTGATACGATTGCGGAAAGTTTTGAAGAGAGCTCCGGAAATCGGGAAACTTTGTAAGCGAACGCTACTCTCTCTTTTTTCATGTTTTCTTTCTACTTTTTTCATTTCACCTCCTCATTGTTTTTTCTTGGTCGTACAGTTATTCTATGAAATGAACGATCGGTGGCTTTCCTTCTTCATCATAATTTTATATTTTTATGGTCAAATTTTTTAATACTATTAACGGACGACATTAAAAATGATGAAATTCATATTCTGTTTAACTTTTACTTTCATTTTATATTCCTAATTGTTATGTTTAAACGGTTTCATTTTAAAAAAAAAAAGGAAAACAAGAATTATCCTAGTGACAATTATACAAAGAAAGAGCTGTTAGGATGACTGGACAGTTCAAAAGAACTGTTTAATTTATAACCGATTGAGATATTAATGAGACAAGTTCCGCCATAGCTTAGTTGCAATTAAACAAACAAGTTGTAGTCACTCTAAGTAGTACTATAAAATAATAAATTGAAAGTGTTTTCCAGTCAGTAATTAATTATTTTTGCAATACTGTTTATAAGCAGATTTTACTTTTAAAAATATATTTAAAGGGTTTTGTCTTTCGGAACTGTGTTATAATGCCCTGATTTGATTTTCAATCTTCCGAAATATTTCACTGCTTTATGTGTTATTCTATTTTGGGATAATTTCCGGACGTCATTGTCAATGAATTATTTCATCTCGCGGTACATTACTGTTTGTTGACTAAGGCGTTCGAAATCTGTGCTTCATTCCTTCAGAATCAACAATGATACTACTTCACTCTAATATTTATTTTCAGAAATTGATTACATCTTCAAAAATTTAAGGAAGGTCTAAAATATGTGGTTGTCTTTGTGCATAGGTGGCTTTTTGTTCGATAAATGATTGATATTTATCAGAGAAGTATCCGTTCGCTGGTGATAACGATTGGTATTAACCAAAGGGTAATGTGAAGGGAGATATCATTCTATTTTCCAATTAAAATTAAAATTAGATTGGGAAGAAGATGGGTAAACAAGGATTTACCCATTTCTTTTTTTACAAACAGTTTTGTACTTCTCACAACAAATTCATTTTATTGTTATCGTTGTGGTCGAATCCCGAAGAGTTGTACTTTTTCAATCACTTCCGATAATTCCGATAATGAACTTTTCCACGAAAATTCGTTTTTTTCGTACTTTAATTTAATTTTGTGTTTTGGTTAGTTCAATTTTGTGTCCGTTAAAAACTGAAGTTTTTGTCAGCAAAATGTTTTGTAAATAAAAAGAAATGTAAATTTACTTTTTCCTTTCTTATCAATCTTTTTTATTCAACGACTGCTACACATATATTCTCTCACAGTTCGTTTTTAAAATTTTAACAGAAAGAGGAAAGTTATTTTGGCTATTACGTCCACCCACATCGCTGTAACTGTCTGAGGGAAAGTCAATTAGAAAGATAGCTAAGATTTATTAAAGTTAATGTATTGGTATTTCCGGGGGAACAATTGGCCCTCATTGTTTATTTGCTAAATTTTAAATTTGAAAAGGTGAGTCGGAGGCACTTTTTTCTCCTCCCTTTTATATTTGCCCTTTCAATAGGTACAACTATTCGAAAGAAAACTTGCAACAATTTCATATTATCGTCATAACAAGCGCGTTTATAAAAAGATTTATTGTTCGAAATCAATTGAAAATTTATTTGAGCGGAAAATCTCCAAAGCAAGCGCAAAAAAATGAGGCATGAGATATCATTATTTCTGTTACTATTGTTTCCCGCTATCATTGCATTTCGATCTTTGAAAATCGAACGAAAACAAAGCATTGCAGTAAAAGGTGTACTGATGTGTAACAATGAACCTGCCGTTAACGTTAAAGTGAAACTTTATAACCATGGCCAAGGTCAGTCATAAGGCGATTATTCTGTTTGAATTTCTTTTTATTCATATTTCCTGGATCACATTTGTAAATATGTATTTTTGTATGTTTCTCTGTATCTAAAGTAAATTCTATATTGGAATTGTGTAAAGCTAAGAAATCGGAATCTTGATGACTTGTAATCCTCCGCTTCGTATGACCTTAAAAAAAATCTAAACTCACCTTTTCTTCCTCTTTCTCTAATGATCTTTAAACATTTCAGAGAGTAAGACTTAAATAATAATTCCTAAGAACTTTTATGTTCTAATTTTCAACCAAACATATGTAGAACAAATTGCTACTTTATCTAACATATTCTTTATTATAAGTGAGGATTCCAAATTATAATTTTATAACATGAAAGTCAGCTTCTTTCTTCTCAAAAAAAAACTTTGTGAATTTCAGGTCGATACGTAAAGGATTTTATGGATGAGGGAACAACGAATAGTGAGGGTCATTTCGTACTCAAAGGTCATGAGATATCAATTATAGACATTAAGCCGGTGCTGGAGTTATACCATGATTGTGGTGATGAAAATTCTGCGAATGGATTAGTTTTTTTTCCAGTTAGATGGAGAATTATGCAAATGCAGTGCTTTTTATGATTCCCTCAATATCTTTAATGGTGATAACTATTGTTAGACGAAGGATAAAGACAATTCGAAATCAATTTTTCTGATTATAAATTAACACTGCTTTTGAAAATTTTTATTCCTTTAAATGCTTATTTGATACATTCAATAATTTCACAAACTATAATTTTTGAATTTTTTAAATAGAAATTTTGTTTCTTTTGCAGTGGTGTTTGAAGAAATTCTCAATATTAATACCAAATGGTTTCGTTAGCGAAGGTTCAGAACCAAAGAATACATTCGATACGGGCACATTAAATTTAGCAAGCAAATTTTTCGACGAAGGAAGAAAATGTGTCAATTAATAACTAAATTCGATAATGAAATGAAGAATAAAATCCTTTGTTTTTAATTGTTTCTAAAATGAATATATCGCATTTTCAAATCTTTAATTTGCTTACTTTGGAAGCTTTCAGAGAAATTTATCCGATCAATAAAAGTAATAAGTCGTCTTCATCATAACATATGAAAAAGAAAGGAAACAAATGTAAAATCAAGCATAAGAAATTTCTTTCTTCTTACGACGAATTAATAGCACAGCAACGAAATTAAGAGCCAAATGCAGCTAATGCTATATTTCCACTTGTACTTATGAACAATAAGCAGTCTAAACTCTTTCTTGCTCTTTTTACTGGAGCACTGATCGGATTTCACTTGGAATTATAACCGTCGAGAGAAGCTATAGTTCTAAGGTATCGATAAATTTCACACTTTCTCATGACTTATTTGCAAATTAATCCTTTCATTTGCTGCTGGGAACTTTCTATTTTCTTCTAACTACTTATCGATATTCACAGTGATTAACTGCGACAACTGATACATATTAATTAAATAATCTTAGTTGAAATGTGTCCAATAGCTAATCCCGACTTATTTAAGCTTGTTACTTATTCTTGAAATTCCTTAGGGTAATTCAGATTTCCTTAGAGTACCACAGATCTGTCAATAACCAATTCTGCTTAAAGTGAATGAGGTCAGCAAGCTCATCACATCAGTGTACTTTCAGATTACGTGAAGCATCTACGCCATCGATCCAACTCCTGTGTTGTTACAGCGTTCACATGCCGTGATTAATCATTGTTTATTATGGAAGTTGCATATTTTATTCATATGGTATCCAGTTACAGTACATGACTTTTATAGTTTAATATCTTTAATTAGCTTTTTGCGAAGTAAGCAACGAGAAGATAGACTTTTGACCCTTTCATCTTCATCTAATAATGAATATTCCTTGCTATGATTTTGCTTACGCTTTTTAACGATTCCCAGAAATTATTTCATATTTCATCATTTGTCCATAACACAGATGCAAACATTTACAAAAGTTGATTTGTATTTTTATAATTATAATAGTAATGATTGTGATAATGATGTATTGCGCAAGCAAAAAAGCGAACAGTAAAAACACTTTATTCAAATCATTTTTTCAAGAAGGGATTGTTCGTTCTAATACCTATGTCAGCTTCTTGATATCTTCGATCATTTGATTCATTCAATTTTAGAATCTAATAATCTAAGTAATCTTATATCTTACCCGGCGAATCTCATTCCGATCCTTTTTAAAGAGAACTTTTTAGTGTGAAAGAGAAATCCTCTTCAATTACCGCCGCATATTTGATAGAAGAGATTATTAAGGAAGTGTTTCTTTCACTTTTGAAAGGGAAAAAGTCCCGACAAGCGTGCAAACATTTTGTTTATTTCGCTTCAGTACATTGTATTATGCGCAAGTCGCTAGAAGGTCGATAGCTCCTTCCACGCTCTCATTTGCTCTCTGAAAAATATTGTAAAATTCCACCACTTCTTTGCTTCCTTCCGTTCCATTTGATCGAAAAGAAAATCAACTCTTTCTTCGTTTTCCTCTTGCCTAACTTTCGTCAATTCTCTCAAGGTTTGTTAAAGGCCAAACATTCTTGAATAGTGATTATGTTACACAGCTTTTGCACAATGGCTTCGTTTTCTGGCCTCTCATTTGCTTCGATTTCTATAATTGCAGTATATAGCTTGGCCACATGCAAAAGAAGAACTAGTCAATATGGATATATTTTTCATCTATAGGGTAAGGCTTAGTGATTGTCAAGGGGATTGCCACTAAGGCTTGAGCCTTAGTTTTCTTCGTCTGCTGTTGGAGAAGGAAACTAGACTAACAAATGCTAAAGTCGGCCTTGGCCAAAATGGAAAATTTATGGTTGCTTCTCTCATCTCTCTTCATCCATTTTTCTTCGTGCTATAACCTTATAGTCTAAGCTTTATATTCTTCAGTTCAAATTCTTCGATCGCTCACGAGCATTAGACACAAATCCAATTTGGTTTGCACAAATCCAGCTCGCGCAATAAATGCGTGATCTGTGAATTCTGATTTATCTCACTTTTTCTTACATCTGTAATAAAATTTCTTTAAAACAACAACCTGAAGTATTAAAACGTATCTTTAAAAATAGCATGAAATGTTTACATTTGATCCTTGAAATGAGCTTCATTACAGCTGTGCAGTAATTTCTCGTTACTTTTATGGTAATATATCGTTTTGGCACCCCGAAGTGGATATCATTTTTTGGGAAAAGGTGATGATTGCTTTTATTCTGTCATATGATTATCATCAAGGATCGATTTCTCAGCAGTGAATAGTTTGCAATTCGATGAGATAACTCAATACACCTCCTATCACCCTGTAATGTACAGCAGTAATACTTATTAATGATATTGTAATAGACATAACTTCCAACGTTACTTCTATCATTTCCCATGCACTTCGTTTTAAAGCCTTCAAAAGGACGCTATCGTTTTATTAACATTTTTTTTGAGTGGGAATAGAGGAGGAAAAATGAAACAAAAATTTGCTTATAGGAACTATTCCATCATTTTACTCTCATTTACATCATTCTGCTCAATTCGATTTCTCTTCAAATATTATCGCAGATATGCTTCCCTTCCTAATTTTGAATAGTAAACAAAATGCTTCAACCTCAGTCATCTCTCAATTTTTAAAAATATTTTTCATTTCTTTTTTTCTCATTTCCGCCTGGAATCCAATCTCCAAATTTCAGTTTACATATCTTTGAAGTGTAAAGGTATCGTTGTAACCAAAAAGGCGATTGTATCTGCGAGTGTATCTAATTTGAGGCATGCATCCGTATACATCCATACATTCGGCATACATCCGTTTCCTGCATTGGATACTAATATCAATATGAAGACTTTACACCCATGAATGAGATATTATAATAGAGCAACCAAAATAAGGGGGTTTTTTTAATTTTAATCTGATAAACCAAGAGGCGACATTTCGCAGTTTTTGACACATGCTTTAAACTGTAGACTATAGCTCTAGAGTTAGCAGATTAGATTTTTTCCGGGATCAAATCACTAATAATTTGACTATTATTGTATCCAAATGGATATGCTTCGGACAGCCAATAATAAGGTAATCAATGTCTAAACATTAATCCCTTATCTCGTTAGCACATTACAACATTACATCAGATTCTCAAGGTCTAACCTTCATATTATTCATTTCAATTCATTTCAAGTGATATTATATTATTATTTTAGAAAGCTTTGCGAATTATGTTCCAAAATGATGATTTGCATAAATGAAAGAGGGATAGGTAATCAATTAATGCTGACAGAGAAACCATTTAATAGTAAGAGAATAAGTAATGACAGTTGATGAGCCTTTCATTTAAGCATATTAATTTTGATATTAGGAAACTTCATTGTATGAAATGAATGAAAATTTTCTTCTCTCTTTCTCTTAACTAATTTTCTTTTTTCTCCCTTTTTGCTTTTGTTTATAAAATCAATCTGTCCTTTGAATAGGTCAACATAGCGCCTGCTTTATGCATTGCTCTTTTTCCTATCCTCTCTCTCTCTCTCTCATAAACATCCATCCGTTCTACACTTGCTCTCTTTTTTCAAATTTCACTATGAATCCATGATATGTAATAGTTTATCTATCATAAGAAAGATATATATATGATAAGGTAAAATATGGTAAAGTTGTAGAAGCTATATTCGGATCATTTACTAAATTATGTTAGAGAATTTTAAGATGCTTTATGATCGATAGAACGAAACGAAATCTTTAATGAATCTTTACTAAACTTTAGAAAAACAGTGAGATGAAACAATGATGTGTTGTCGTTCATTATTGTTTTAAAGTTATTTTGAATTATACTCGAAATTGAACGAACAAATCTAATTTGTCAATTTTTTCAATAATTTGAAAGTTGCATTAACATGTAGACATCGGTGGATGAACAAGAAGAACAAGAAAAGGAAATGGTGAAAATCGATTTAAACGATGAACAGGAGTTTAGTCATGACCTTAATATGGAACATGAACCACCGGATGAACCAATGTTGGTGCCGTCGACTATTGCTGCCATCACAGTTACTTCCACTAGAGCCGCTCGAACAACCACAGAAGCAATTGTGTAAGTTCAACTTCAATTTAATTCGAGGTTTGATAGAAAAAATGATTAATGTTCTAGGAAGGAATGAGAGTAGCTCTTGTCATATGGAATGATTAAAATTCACCTAATTTAAGAAGAAATATTTCCTTTTAGCTTAAATTGCTTATTGATTTTAAGATAGAATAATAGGGTGCGGCATTGTGATCTCTTCTGAATAATTTGAAAAAGTCAGTCAATAATGCCACCCTTCAAAATCATTTCCTATTAATTTCTCAATAATATTCAATTCTTCAGTTCTGCCAAGCCTAATCAAATACTACTGAACTTATAGGTTACAACTGAGGTGCAATTAATAAAGTTCTTATGAAAATAATGCCTAGGGTAGACTTCACTTTTTCCTATTCATTTCCAAAAAAGTAGTCTTGAAATTAGCCTTTGCCCTTATTTTTACATATTATTCTATAATATTCCTAAATAAAATAATTTTCCTGGGAGAAAAACAAACTACTTTGAATTGTTCAAAATTAAATTAAAAACATGGACGCCAAAAAATTCATTCATCTTCCATAATGCTCTACATAGCTTATTAGTAAACTTTTTTAGTCTTTAATAATGCTAGCCGCAACATCGTCCTGATCATAAAAGATGAGAAGTAATGCTCACTTAGATAATCAACAAGCACTTCTATTGATTCCAAAATCTACCGGAATAGGTTATTCAAATAATGAAGTCAGCATCTGCTGAATATCATAATTTAAATCCTTTATTTTCCCACTGCATTATTCAGAGAATTCGCCTATGTCAACAAAACTTTTTATTGTAAATAAAATCCATTTGAAAGAATGTTGATCAATTCTTTTTTAGGATTTATTTGCTTTAGTGATAATAAATTAAATAAATCAAATAATTGGTGTTAATAATGAGAAATATTCAGTAACTTTTGTAGGCAACTAACGACAAGCAAAGAATCGTTAAAAGATACGGTGGTAAATTTCGTCGGAGATAAAGCTAAAACACTTTCTGATATTGCCCGGAAAAAAGTAGTGGCAAAAACCGGTTGTACGTTTTATTTATGCTTAATCGTAACACTTATTGTTGGTTCACTTCACCTTGGTCGGCTGTATGTATATGCAAACATGTAAATATCAAGCTAATCCAAAGTTCCGGAAATAATGGCAAAACTTGAAGCTGTCGCTTGGCATCAGAATCATTTGCAGGATAATACATATGGGGCAGATTTTGTACTTTGAAATTAATTCAAATATTTATGTATTTCTTGCATGACATAAAAATAATTTTGAGATTTTTCTTTACATATAAATTATTGTCAATTGGTCGACATCCAAATTTCGAATTTTTTGTTTACTGATAAGGGACGAAATGATAGAGTGAGAAGGTACAAGGTTCGAGTAAACTTTTTTCCAGGTAAATGAAATTTACGAACTTCAGCAATATTTCAGTGTCTGAATGGACTTTCGTTTTTTTCGGTATAATTTGCATTGCACTAATTCTATGTTGCGCTTTCTTTCTGATACGAAAATTATTTGGCAAAAAACGACATGGCGAAAAAAAACAGAAAGGACTGAAAGGATTTTTTGGCGGAAGAGGAGCGGACCTCATCACGATTGATAAAAATAAGGCAAGCCTTTTTTTCAAGGCTTTAAAGGAAAATTGAATTATAAAGCGCATACTTATACTTGTTGAAGATTACCTTCTGTTTGACGTATGTAAAAGATTGTTATAAAAGATTTTTCTTCAGTATCTCAAATTTAATACTCTAGCAAATGTTTCTTTTTAGCTAGCAACTGATTTAGAGCAGTTGGAAGAAAATATGGAACAAAATGAGAAGGAACAAGCAGAAGAAAAAGAAGAAGTTGGCATCTTACATTTATTTATTTCCATTATAAAAGATGTTCTCTATTACAGAAAATTCTGTTTTTATCATGAATTTCTTATTAATTAGTTTTTTAATAATAACTATTCTTTTTTAACAAATGTTTGAAAATTATTAACGAAGTAATTTTACTCTGCCGAATAAGGAAAGGAAGCGCAACTAAAAGAATTCTGCACAAGAATGGAATTTATTTTTCGAACTCGTTTTAAGTTTTACCTTTCAGGTAAAACTTGGAAGACTACAGTATAAGCTTGACTATGATTTTCAACAAAATCAGGTATTTCAAAAGTTTTAAGTTCATGTGTTAACAATAAATTTTCACTCAGTACTAGGACTGGTGGTAGTTCAATTTGCATATCGAATAAGTTTTCCGAAAAATAGTGGAAAAGGCTTAAATGAAAATTATTTTGATTTTTTCATCAGTTGAAGTATAACATTTTGGATCATTTAAGGTTAATGAGTTTTGTCCATAAGAATACCTTCGACGCTTTTTCGAAACCTTTGTATAAGTATGCAATACCTTCACTGCTGTTACCAAGATTTACCAGTTGGATTTCACTAAGAATTTAATTGAAACAAGTTAAAACTTAAATTTCTTTAAAAGCTATGCAATTTCATAAAAAATTTGTTATTACTAAATTAGACAAATTCCATCTCTAATAATTAGAAAAGCTAACAATTGTATGAATGCTTTCCTTTAGTTAAAAGTATTTTATGAATTCAAATTTAAACTATTATAAGTCAATGCGAAGTTTCAGTTAGCAGTAACAGTGATACAGGCAGAAGATTTGCCAGGTATGGATATGAGCGGAACATCAGATCCCTATGTGAAATTGTATCTTCTACCGGAAAAAAAGAAGAAAGTAGAAACGAAAGTACATCGCAAAACGCTTAATCCTGTTTTCAATGAAACATTTATATTCAAAGTACAATACTTGGTTCTTTTCTATTTTTACTAAAGTGAAAAACATTCAAAAACATTTTTTTTTAAAATCATTGTTTACTGCTTTGAGGTACCGTTCGTTGAAATTGCATCGAAAACACTGGTTTTTGCTGTGTACGACTTTGATCGTTTCTCTAAACATGATCAGATCGGTCAGGTACTGATACCACTTGGTAAAATAGATCTTGGCCAAGTAATCGAGGAATGGAAAGACATTGCACCGCCACCTGATGACAAAGAAGCCGTTAGTCCTACATTATATTAGTATACATCACTTCCATTATTTTATGTTAAATGTTAGAACATTAAATAAATTGATAAAATTCACTGGAAGTCTTTTGAAATTCATCCCACATATTTTTAATTATAGGATAAAAGTTTGGGCGATATTTGCTTTTCATTGAGGTATGTACCAACAGCTGGTAAACTTACAGTAGTTATCCTGGAAGCCAAGAATTTGAAAAAGATGGATGTTGGTGGATTATCAGGTAAGCTCATATTATTTTAAGGTACCATTTACAATTCAATCTCATTTCTGATTTGGAACCACAGGAATGATAAACGTAGGCATGGTTCTCAAGTATCGTTTAATTTACAGTGTTTTGCAATATTTTAAGAGTTCTGCAAGTTTAAGCTGTGCTAAGTGTAAGCGATGAAGTCAAGACATTTTTTAGATCCATACGTTAAGATAGTATTGATGCTAAGTGGGAAACGGTTGAAAAAGAAGAAAACGAGCATCAAGAAGTGCACTCTAAATCCTTACTACAACGAATCATTCTCATTTGAAGTACCATTTGAGCAAATTCAGGTAATAAATGATTTTGAAGTAATGCTAATTAAATCCGAAATTTCGATTTTTAATTTGGAAAAAAGACAGAGAGTAAAAAAAAAGTTTTTGACAAGATCTTGTATTATGCATAAAGTTAATATTGCAAGTTAAGTTAAATTAAACTGCAAATTCTAACATACAGAAGCCATTTCTTCCTCGATCTTCAAAATTACTGAAGTATTGTGGAAATTTTTTTCCGAAATTTAGAAGTGATGCATGATGCATAGTTACCGCTAAAAGTTGGCAATATTACTTTGTGATTTTTTCATTCTATTTTCCCAAATATCATTCGATTGAAACTTTCAGCATCATCTAAATCAAATTCAGTGTTGAAATTCTCTTTCTTCCACTTACGCATGCTATTGAAATGCAAAATTTTAACGATAATGGAATGGTAATATTGTTACAGAAAATATCATTGATGATAACTGTGATGGATTACGATAAGTTGGGCTCAAACGATGCAATCGGCCGATGCATATTGGGCTGTTCAGCAACAGGTGCCGAATTGCGACACTGGATGGACATGTTAGCCAGTCCGCGTAGACCCATTGCTCAATGGCATACTTTAGGCCCTGTAGAAGAGCCTGAAAGACCTTAAAATTCGATTGTAGTGACCATCCTTGTTAGATGCTTCCCAAAATATTCTACTACTGTTGTATTAATCCATTTCGTCGGCATACATGGTTCTAAAGGCAAAGAGTAATACTTTGTTTCCGACGTTTCCTACAATACGGTTCCTGTAGTAATATAAAAATGCAGTGCCAAATGCGTCATGTATCCGAATGTCTTTATCGGATCATTAATATCTCAGGAAAAATTCATTTATGGCAATGTAAACTATCCGAAATCGAAATCAGTTGATATTCTCAGCCCAAATCGAAACACTTCTTTTCAATGGTCAGTCAATGTTACATGTAGGATTAGTCGATATATGCTAGATTAAGAATAATCTGTTCACTTTAAAGCAATATATTTTGATAGAAATTATTTTAAAATTCCGGGTCAACTATTAAACTGCTTGTTGATTATCCATTCCATTTCTTGCAACTTGAACTGTTCAGAAAATATGAACTTTTTCCCTTTCTCTCTTTCTGTTTTCTGATTATATTTTCTATTTCCTCTTTCTTTTGAAATAATAAATTATAGATTCTTTTCATTCACTTTAGATTGTTATCCCTTTGTTACCGTAATTATCACTTATGTTTCTTCCTGCAAAATTTTTCCCATAGAAAAGAATTAAACATTGCTACCAAAAGAAGTTTTTTTGGTTTACTTTGAAGATTAGATTTTAAAATTTTGATATAGTATAATTTAAAGAGTAGTCAAAAGTTGAAAAGTATTCATTTGACGAATTCAGTTGAAACTTTTCTTGGAAAAGATCACAAATCTATCTTAAATGATGCTATTGGCAAGCTTCAGGAAAACGTGTAAAAAACTGAATGACTTTGACTGTCGGGCAATGATCGAATTGCTGAGATTAATGTTCTTTCACACTATTTATTTTAAAGGAGGAGACAATCAGCAATGGTTTATTTCACACGTTTTTCACTTAATATTTTCAAATTTAACAAAAGTTTCCTTTTTTTGAAATTCCAACAGCGCCACATAAAGTAGAAATTGGGTGAGAAACTTCCCGGCCAATGCGGTTTTATTGATGGGCCTTAGTTTAAACTTTGAAATAGTTCATTCTAAATATCAAGTTTTGAAGGTAAGTAGCATGTCTGTCTTTCATCTTTTCAGTTGGTTTTCGGCATCCGGAAAAGGAATAAACGAATAGTTCCTTATATTCGTAGAGAGAATTGGACAAGACATAAAAGGAGGTTGAATAGATCGATAGGAAATGATAAAGCAGATTAAGTGGTGGAATTATTCGTCTTGTAGCCGTAAGATTAAATAATTATTAGCTCGAAGGAGAAAAATGAAATCCTGAAATTTGCTAAACTCTTTTTTGATTTTGATTAATCAGTGTTGCTATGTTTTACCATTGTGTATGCCTTCTTGCGCGATTTCGCAACATACGCCAGAATAACATAGCAACAATTTGCATGAAGCATGCATTTCTATAAAAGCGAAAATCAAAAAATTTTTTTTACTTGAACATTTTGTCATTTGAAAGTTTCTGCCGTATAATATATGTGGAAAATGCTGCAAGGAAGTATCTTATCGCTAATAAAACTATAAAAATTGTTACTATTATTATCAGTATTGCAAAACGAATTGAAACTTTGAAATCACATGGCTTGAATTTTTTTATTTTAAACTAAAAACTTTGCTATCATCTTCTATTTCATTTTCAACTATCAATATTACCATCATCTCAATTATTTTCTATATTATCAATAATAAATTGCAATACCGGCGTAGAATGATTTAATACTGTCTTTCTCTTTCTACCACTTCATTCCATTTTCATTTGTAAATAACAATCGTAAATTGCTGCTGTCAAAATATTTAAACGATAATTCTGCTAATATTTCATGCAAGAAAAAAAATTAATCATTACAATCCCATGTCTATTGCAAAATTGCAAAGACAGCGCATCTCTCAATAATGATTTTGTCAGGGAGTTATGCATAAAACTGTATGTATGCCTTTAGTATCATTAACATTCAAATAGCTTTCTCGCAATTTATCAGCAAATAACACCCATATAAGGAAGGTATTCTGAAAAGATTGAAAGCGAATGCTAGAAACAAGTTAGGTTATCGAGATTCATCCTTCATCTCATTAATCTGAGATATGCTATTATTGAAGATTCAGAAGTTAGAATGAGAAAGAAATAATGAAGTAAGCGGTACCTTAATGAAATTACGCAGTAAGCTGTTGCTGACGTCATGTTAGCAACAAAACATAAATAGTTTCATAGCATCGAAATGATCGAGATTAAGATTCACCAACTACCTCTATAAAATCCTATAAGAAAGAGAGCTACGTTATCGAATACATCAAGTACAAATTTGGCTTAATTTAAAGAGTATACTTTGTATGCATACATTCAAAAAGCTACTTAGAAAGACACTCGATTCCATTCAGTACTGCTGTAAAGTAATATTGTTGGAAACCCGAAATAATTTATGTCTAAATAAAAAAGTTTCATTTGGTATATTTCTCACTCAAGTGTTCATCGTACAAGCTGTAATTTAATGAATGTTAAAATGTCTAATACGATGAATCACTTAGCTAAACTCTCCTATTTTTGATTACCTTATTCTTTAATGGTTAATTACTGTTTAAAATACTGTTTTACTAATTCACATAAAAATATCTCGGTGTAATAAATTTTTCATGTTCACATTCTATGCTTGTATCCGATGGGATTTTATCGGAGTATTTGTTATAATGAGGTGTGAAAGAATTGACTTCAAGTTAGTCTTATTACGTCATACAAGTGTTCTGGTGTTATACGACACTGCCATTATCTACATCTAATTCATTTTAGTCTACTACTTCAACAAATAGTCCCAAAATATATTCTCTCGAATCAATGAATAAAGAAAATTCATAAGTGATCAATTCTGTTATTGACAAATAAATCATTCACAATTGTTTCATAACGTCCTCTATTAAAGAGGAAATTAACTTTCACCAAATATTCAACTGTGCCAATCTAAAGCGCCATCAAAACAAAACAAAAATTCACGACAAATATATGAGAAAAAATTGAACTTAAAAGACTGGATAGAAAGAAAAGCCATACTGCTATTCGGAGACGTTACAGGTTCATAACCATTGTAGCAGTGGAAATGGATGATGGTAGTTCATATCTTTTCTTTATCTATAATTATAATTATATATACTCCGAAGCTGGAAAAAATGTTTTTTATAATTTGACTAGAAAGTAATTAGAATTATCATTAATTGTCCCAAAAGTATCTCAATTAAGCCGTGTAATCAATGACTGCCCCAAGATATGTTATATAAAAACTTATTGTTGAAACCTTTCACTTTTGTGGAGTGATAATATCGATTTTATTTCTATTTTATTCGTCAGAATCAATTAAACTGAATACAAAAAAACAAAGAAATCAGATTAGATGTCAAAACAACACGGAAAAGTGAAGGCAGCTCACATAGGTAACCAAATATCATACACGTATGTGAAATCATGTTTTAGAGTAGGCGATCTTGAAGGATCCTACTGCAGCACATACTGAGAGAAAAGATACGAGTAGTTGTGGCAGCAGAGAATTGATTTTTGTCTACGATGTTCTATTTCAATCAATTCTTGCCACGATTTCCAAAAAAATCTCTGAAAATACTCCAGCTATGTTATCTGCCAAGTCGGTTTTTATAAACGGAAAATTCGGAAGTCCTAAACAGAAAAGATACACGGAAATATTGGAATGTCTTAGAGTAGGAATGGATATTGATATTGATGCAAAGAATGGAGAGAAGGAGAAGTTTAATGAGTTTCTGAAAGAGGAGAAAGATAAAAGTCGGAGAAGTAAGAAGCGATTATAACAGTCTCATTTTCAGCTTTTCGTATTCTTCCGACGTTCTCCTCCATAAGATTTTCGGAAGGGTAAATGGTGCTGTGTTTCGGAAATCAACTCCAGCTTTACTCGAACAGACATTACTCATGCAGGGCAATATAAGAACTAAAGAAATTAGTCAATAATTACGACCAAATTTGATAAAACGACAACAAAAAATGAAATAAAAACAACCTATGCAAAACAGCAATGTGAATTTTGTACAACAAAATAATGCTTGGATACATTTCCAAAAAGGAAAGGAAATATGTAGGGATTAAAATAAACATGATGGGAAGAATAAATGCTGCATGTGCTTTAAAACATATGATCCTAACCTGGATTTTGTGTTGGCTTAATGTTAAAGTGCGATAATATATGACAATTTATATAATTTAAAAACGGACTTAAAAATCCTCTAATGTTCTAACGTGGTGGCAGCACTTCCTCCATGATCAGACAAAGAAAAACACTTATTGATGCAATCAGCAGTTGAAGGATGTACTGAAACAGAAAAACAGAAGGATGGCAACGGACTGGGCAGCGAAAGGAACATAAAAGAGGGAAACCCTCTTCCGATAAGGCACCTTCATTTTCTAATGGATTACCGTGATGGGAAAGATATTGCAGACGGATGTTATGTTCTAATGAAAACTGAAGCTAACACTGTGTAGCACAGTAAGTTCGCTGCAACGCTGCTTTCTCGTCTTCTAGAAGCCGACAAGCCTTGTTCAACAGTTGCTGAACTTTTTGACAGTTTGGGCGACTGGGTGTTGCAGTACAAGGAAGAAGATGGTATGTACGGAAACCAATGCATCGGTCGATCACCGTGATAAGTAAACGACCATGTTCATCCCGATTAATAACCAATTTTTCGTGTGATTCCAGAAAATTAATCTAGAAAAAAGTAAGATATTTTTCTTAAATTATAACCGAAAAGTACAACAAAATGTAAACTAGTTGTAAACAAATGCATGCCAATATGATCAATGCTATGCTTGTTCGTGATTTATGAATAAGACGAAAAATAGAAATGAATTGAAAAACCTCGTCAAACTAGAAGTCTTTGTTGCCATGAAGCATTTGGCCCAATTCAGGCAAAAAGAATAAATTTAAGAAATGCGAACAAAACCGGAGTTGGAGTCTAATTATTATCCACGTATGTTAAATTAAATATACAGTAATACCAAAATTATAGAAACTTCAACAGAGCACACAAAAGCAGCACTTTCTAGGACTTAAATAAGTTTTAATTTATTAAAAATTAAAATTACCTGAATAGTTCCCAAAGCGAGACACATCAATAATACTCCACTATGTCGTTTTTGATAGACCAAGGCATCTAGCTGTTGGCGAACATCGCTGTGCTCATACACTGGCTGAAGCTCCTTATCCATGTAATCACTGCAAAACAAATAAAAGAATATTAGAAAACGGTGAAGAGACAGAAGGAAAAAATGTGGACTATTAATTAGGGGAAAACACTTTCATTTTATTAGGAATATGTCGAATTCTTTATAAAATAAAATTTCTTAATAAAATTATAATAACAAATCTTCCCAACGAAACTTTCTAAACAAATCTCCTAACAAATTTCTTAAATAACTTATGCAAAAGAGAAAAACGACAATAATACAACCTGAAAAGTTCCACAACACGGACTTTTTTCGCCAATCGTTGATCATTGACAGTATCTAGCGTAGTCCATTCCACAAAAGTCCATGGGTCCTGATCTATATCAGATATCATCAAATACCGCTCAGCTTCCTTTTCTACACCACGCCTAAGAAAATTCGAATTAGTACAAATGAAACAATAAAACATAAACCAGCTTTCACCACTAGAATGCATAGAGTGTAACAGTAATACCACCAAGTGAAACATACAATGAATGGTCTTACAGACAACAACGGTTATACTCTATTTAATCAAAGTCGGTTTAATCATAAGAATGTAAAAATTGCCTGCGGGAAACAGAGGAATTATCGACAAACAGCGTGCAATGGGTACCATCGCTGAGAACACAGCCAAAACCGTATTTGTTAGTATAATCTACCCATTTGCTTACCATAGTCAACTGGAAATCAAGCAAGAAAGGCGCTTCATCTGACACTAAAACAAAATCAATTATAGTGAAAGAAATTATTCATAAAGGGACGACCAAATTTCGACATTTATTATGCGCTTGAGACTTATTAAATCAATGTATATATGTGTAAAACATAACAATTTTAAGAATGATATTGATAAGTTTTTTCAGAAAACTTGTATAAAAATATCTCTAGTTCAAATATGCCCATTTCTTTTGAAAAACATTGGTACTTTGGCAATAATAATGACAGTACCAGTGTAATAACCCAGTAACAATTGCTTATACAAGGCTTTACAGTCAGAAATTGATCGTGGCCGAGCATTCAAACACCCTTCGGAGCCAATTCCAGAATCACCAATGCTGCAACCTCCTCCAAAGCCCTGCAATTCCCGGGAACTACATGAAAAATATGAAGAATCCCACACAAAATTAAAATGAAATAAGAACTACAAAACAAAAGTTCATAAGGCAAAAGTCATCTTTATTTGTAACGATACCTGATTCTTGTTAAAAGTATTTGTGCCAGGTATATTATAATCAAATTACTTACAATAAAAACGTTAGAAAATGAGTAGCAACATACTTGATCAAAATTTGCTGTCTTGGACAATTGGATGTTATTTTCTTTTCTTTTTACTGAGTATGGTTCTTGCATTCTAAAATATTCCTGTTCGCTTAAAAAGGAAAATGATCAAAAGACAAGTGTTAAGCACTCAACCGAATAACGAAACTATCTTATTGAAGCACGTAATTCGGCAGAAAATTATCTTTTAATTTTAGTTATCTCTTGCACTATGCATACACTGATATTCAAAAAATCCAGTCTTTTTTCAATCGTTAGCTGCTTAAAGCCGAATAAATGAAAAAACTTGACCGAACTATTGTTACCGATATTAGCACATAATTTTTTTTAAGGTGAGCAAACTGACCCCGCAATATCTTTACTGCCAAAGTATGGATGACATTTGACAACACTTATTTTCATTCGAACCGCTGCATCCGGAATGAGCAACCTGGAAAAGATGTTATATTTTCTAATTGAATCTTCTTGGAAAAAGATCCAATGATTATTTTCTTTTTCGCTAACACACTCAGCAATATGAATCTCTTACTGGTTTTCGAGAAGAATATCCATTGAACAAGTAATGATAAGTTAAACAAAGTATACGTATATCACTTACTTTGAAATGAGATCCTCGGCAAAAGTGCAAATTTTAGGTTTAAGCGGAAATGAATAATCGCATGACGCTATTTTGACATATGTCTTTTCTAATGTATCTGCCTCAAATGGTGGCTTGCCGACCAACATGCAGTACAGTATACAACCAATGGACCACGCTTCCGATTCTTTCGAATGACCTTCTCGTTTAAGTACCTGCAAAATTTATCTTCCCTTTCATACATCTTTTCTTTTTTCCAAAACTTTTTTCAGTTCTACAGAAACTTTCACTATATTTAACAGAAATTGGATATATTAAACGCTCAAGAAGGAAACATATTGCAGTGTTGCATTAATGGCAATGACCATCAATGAAGGATAATCCATAATCCATCAGAAAGTGATATTATCTAAATATCTACTTTTCAGATACAAACGCTTCCATCCCTTTAATAACCACCATCACAAGTTGACCAGAAAGTAAGATATACAATTATTTTATCTGAAGTCTTTAACTAATTCTCCGTCATGGCACGCAACGACATTGCCGTCAATTACAAAAGATCACTTCTTCCCTATTCAGCGCGATGCTGAATTTCAGAAAAAGAGTAGTAATTTCAACAAAATTAAAATCATTTGATACGATTCCCAATACTAAGATAAAAACGAAAACGTGTTACAGGCTCACTTATATTTTCAAGAAAATGGAATTGGTCGGCGACATAAGAAACAGGATGAAATGACTACAAGGTGAATGCAGAAAAGAGAATGGAATGAAATGGGATGGTAATCCTCTCTTACAAAATGATACTTCTAATAAATTTTAAAATATGATGATGGGAGGGAAAGAAAAGGAAAAAAGGGAACTTATACTTTAATATTGCAAAATGTCACAAAAATTGTGCGTTAAGAAGAACGAAAAATAGACGCATGCCTGAGGCGACAAATAATTTGGCGTCCCGCAAACATTCAACGACGAATACGGTAAATCGCTTAATTTCAAAGCCAATCCGAAATCTGCCAATTTCACCTGTAATTTCAATTTCTTCAACTAAACAGAAAAAATCAAGACTTTGGACAAGCGAATAATCCCATTTGCAGTGGAGTTCTAGCAGTGGAGTTCCAATCCCCTTAAATAACTAGCTGATGAATGTATAGATAGCTACATTAAATTTGACACAGAATACGAATGTAGCGATCAATCTTTTGGTACAGAAACAATAAACTAAGTGACTTTTTTGCACAACGTATCGGAAAAAATGTCCAAGTTAACAATTAACAAAATGTTAAATGGATATTGAAATTACCTGATCGTTATTGCTAAGAAGAACATTACCGGGTTTCAAATCACGATGCAAAATACCAACTTGTTCATGCAAGTATGTGACAGCGTCAACAATTTGTAATAAATACATTCGTGTACTGTGATCCTTTAATCGCCCTCCTGAATCGAAAGAACATACAGTGAAAGTTGTCAGAAAAAGTAAAAAAGGAAATGTGTCTTAATGAAGTTAATCGAATAGCTCACCCGTTGGTAACCTCTCAGTAGCATAATGTAAGAATTATAGATTAGGAATTCTGCAATTAATCAAGTAATATTAAAAAAAAAAAGAACTACTGGTAATAGTTTTGGCGAGATGTCCTCTGCCTGAATTGCTTTCATCATACAAAAATTTAAAACTTTATGGTACTTCCGATAACATATCTGAGCATACGTCAGTGATATCTAGAACACGACTAAATTTCATGGCTAAATCAAGTGACCGTTCTTTGGTTTCGGAAACATATCCAAATACGAGATAATACATTGAGGAAGTGGCAGGACATGAAATAAGAGTTTTTTTTTTAATTTTTTGTTCAGCAATACATTTCAAGAAGGGCAACAAACCAGGTGTATTTTGGATGCGACAAAGGAGGGTTCCGTTGTGACAAAGTTCAAGAACCATATAGACATTGATACTATCTTCGAAACAACTCAAAAATTTGACCACATTTGGATGGTTCAGTGACTCATGGATCGCTATCTCTTTGCGCATCTTTTCCAGTTGAGAATGCTTGGTGAGACGATTTTTTGGAACAATTTTCAGCGCTACTTCCATTGCAGACGATGAGTCTTTTGCTGCATAACAACGCGCAAAACCTCCCTTAAATAGAGCAAATCATCTTTTTGCCCTTATTCTCATTTTAAAAAACTCGAACTTTACATTTTGCTGGATGCTTCAAGTAGACATTAACTGAAAAGCAGAAAGATTTCTTTTCAAAAGGAAGCATAAATAATAGAACAGTATAAGTAATGAATAGAGTTTAACAACAGATTAGGATGAAATAAAGACAAAAGTGATAAATTGAATAAATAAAGATATATTTGAAAACCTTAAAATTTATTTCCATCTGGAAAATTACCTTACCTTACCAAGATAAAGTGTTGGTGCATAGTGACGAAAATTGTGCGGCTCGTAGAGAATACCCGGTAAAACTTCTTTGGTTGTTGCATCATCCGTATGTTCATTATTTAGATTACCATTTGAAGTACAAGGGCCTAACTGTTCCAACTTTGGTGCCATACACTGAAATTTCTAGGTCACTACTTCCAATCGGTACAAATTACGTGCCTATAATATTACGGATGTATGAATAAAAGCAGAAAGAATTTAGTGAGAAAAAGTGAAGAAAATGAATTCTGGAAAACAAAGCTGCAATATTATCTAGAGGGCAGAAACAATTCACTACAATGAGTGTTGGAAAGAAATGGACCTATGCTGAGGTATTATGAATACATTCACAAGAAAGAGAGGTGGAAAAAAAGATTATAACCGAGCAACAATTAAACCGACACACAGATAACATTGATGCTTCTATTTCTATGTTTTCTGATTATTTAGATGGTGGAGGAACACCATTTTTTCCTACTAACATAGTAGATCTGTTTCATTTTCATTACTGTTCTAGTCCTTACTCACTTTGTCTTAATATAACCTCAGGTGCGATGCCGTCAGTGATTTATGCTTATTAATACACTATGAAACCAGCTATTCAAATCTTTTCTTATGCTTTGATAGTGTAATTAAAGAGTAAATTAGGGTATGGTAGTGCAATTAAAGAGTAAATAAGGGTAAGGTAGTGTAGTCATAAAAATAAGGAAGTAAACAATCAATAAAATGAAAAATTAATAATAGTTAATCTGATGTCATAATACTTAACTCTATTCTTTCTCTTCTAATTTTTTTTAACTAACTTGATCTGATCTCTTTCAGCTATTATCTATTACAATCTTTTTATCATCAAATATGACAAATATATCACATAGGTGATATACTAAAGCATGTAAAGAAAAGATAATATTATCAAAGTTGCAACATTTGTGAAATGAAGCTGACCGTTTCTGTGGAATAAATCTTTCGAGTAAGAACAAAATTTCTAATTAATATCACGTCAGTCAGAATTAACAATAGTAAAATGTACAAACGAATTCTCTTCGTTTTTCTTTCTCTTTTAATTTTATGGAATATATCGTATTTCGACGTAACACAGCCTTCGACGCAATACGAGACATGACGTAACCTTAAACGACATGTAACGTGAAAAACAACACCTCGTAGCATGCACATGATACAATCTCAGAATGCACAATGAGATAACAACATGATGTAATCCCAGATGAGGCAATATGTAACGCAGTTCAATGACGTGACCCAATCTCAAATTAAATTCTACGTAACATTATTTGAAGTGCTTTCTGAGACATCTTTAAATGACGTATTATGTGAAAGCGTCAGTAGCCGTTTAAACATTAAAAGGAGAAACAATTCGATATACTGCACAGAAAGCAAGGTGAAAAATGCTATAAGAAAATATGACGCTGTATCTCAAACGTGACCGTAGGAAGAATCAGATGTCAAAATGTCAAGAGAAATCCGAAGCGAAAAAGACAAGGTACAATTCTTGTGCGACAAATGCAAAGATACGTCCTTAATCGCAAATGTATCTAAAATAATCTCAGACGTAAGATTTCAAATTGTTTGAGATGTTTTGTGACGTCGTAATTATGAAATGTTAACGTCAACGTGAGATATTGAAATAACAGAAAAGGACGAATTAATTTCAATTTCAGTTTTTTTTAATTTGATTCATAGAATTTTCGAAATTGAACATTTGGAAAAAGTGATGAGACTATAAAAAAAGGAAAATGGTTATAACAGTGGTGGAGATGCTGAACAAAAACATTAAAGAATGTTGTATGAGAGGAATGGGATGGTTCCCGAATGCAGGGGGCGAATTTCGCAGATAACAAGTACCCAAACTGTGATTGTTGTCGTTGACCACCATAATAATAGAAGCAACTGGTAACACGTGAAAATGGCATATGGCGCGTCATATAGTTTACTTGTCACAAGAAACTGACGAAAATGTAGAAAGATTGAATGGAAAGACTGTACTGTCTGTCTTGCTAACTCCCAATTAAACAAAATGCACACTAAAACTCGGGTCTACGACACCCATAGACAATGTAATAAATGAATGAGATCGTACCGCAATAAATCATTTTTTCCATTCTTATCTTCTTTCCTAATTTTTTATTCTTGTTTACTTAAGAAATAAATAATTAACGCCAGATTGAATTGTAATCCGAGTATTAGGGTTTCAAAATTCCAAGCTAAACCTCCTCAAAATGGTGAAATCGATGAGAAGACATATATATATATAACAAAAAGCAATTCGAAAAACGATTCAGTGTTGAGAGAACGCATTCGAATCAACAAACACCATTACTTTTTCGAAGATTAACGAATGATGTTTGGATGATATTTTCAATTGATGTTTCACTGGGCAGAAACATTTTCCCAACGCATTTCGATTTTCCGGTGTGCGAACATTTTTTACAGTGAATTCACTTTCACCCTCTAAATTGCAGCTTACTAAATATTTTATTAATAGGAAAAGCGGTTTTATATGTTGAAAAAATGACTGGAATTTCAAATCTTTTCGATTGAGAGTACTAGTTTTTGTAATGACAAAATAGAGATTGTCGCTTAAATCTGAATAAATATAATTATAGATTGAATAACATGTAATGCGACAAGCATATAATTATAATTTAAAAATATAAAACAACGAGTAATAGTAATTAATAGCAACAAGGAAAAAGATTATTTGAGTAAGAAACGGGAATATAATGAAATTTTGCATAAAATAACAATGTGCAACAACGTACATGAATGACTACAAAAGTTAATGATTACAGAGCATAGGTTTATTTAAATTAAGATGGATGAGATCAAGGGATAGATAGACGGTTGGTTGATTCCTTCTAATACAACGCTTTTTTTTTCATATGATGCGAATAAGGGGAAACTAACAGATTTTCTACCACAAAATACGAATATCGAAACATGTGTGTGAGTTGCATCTGCTCCCAGAGGAAGGAAGGTGAAAAGGCTAAAAATCACTTTATTGCTAGCTGCGATGCACACAGCTGTCAATAATAGTGAAAATTACGGAAAAGGACTGAGGAGAGGTAGAAAAGAAAAGATTGCGAATTAATAGAAAAAAAGAACGGGAAAATGAGGAAAGTGAAGGTTATAAATAATCGGGATTTTCAAACGTTATTGAAAGTTATTTTCTCAGGAAAGGATCAAATAAAAATATAGAGATTCATTTTAACTGCAAGAAAACAATCTGATGTTTGATACGAACATGGAATAAAATAAAGAGCTCTCGCCTAACGTTTACTCTGATTACACAAATTGATGACAAAACAAATAGGCATGCACAAGTCCTACAACAAGTTACTGGTTTCTACGAAAGATGTAAGTTAAATTCCTTTTTCGCTAAAAGATTACAATTTTTACGTTTTGTATTTGTGAGATCTTCTACAAGAAAGAATATCACATTTGAATGAATAATTTTGATCAAAAATGTGGCCTTTATGATCAAAATTCTTCGATTTAAATATTTATAAACTGCATATGTTTCACATCAGGTTGGATTTTGATTGGTTATTCAAAAATTAGCTCAATCTGAGTACAAGTCCTATGAAGTTTTTGATTCGTTTATTTCTCTTACAGATCAAAATATTTCTGTTTACTGATGTGCTAACAATTAAATTTACATTAGGAAAGTGTTGAAAATCACTTTAACTGATAAAGCGAGTTATTGAACACAGAAAAATCAATAAATAACATGATGAAAGTTCAAGAAAGACCAACTGTCCAAAATTGAATTTTTATCATTCCCTGTTGTGAGGATCTATTAATCACTCACTCCTATTGATTTTATATGCACCAATCTCAACTTATTTTTAATCATGTGACTGGAATTGTCCAGTCAATTCAATATACCGTTATTTTTGTAGTAGCAATGCCGCTATACGCCAAATAGATTCCGCATCAAAAACCTATAGTAACAATCCTTAAACGAATTTTTAAAACTATCATCGAGCAGCTAGTAATTGAAATGGCCTAGATTCAGGTAATTACACTTCCTTTGTTAGATTAAAATCCTCCGCCATTTATCTTATCCCTTAAATAACGCTACTTCTAAACGAATGATTTAGGCTAGATTTTGTATCGAAAAAGCATAAGACTATGTTTAAGAGCGAAAAAGAACGTTCTATCAACAATCTTAAGAACCTAATTAACCACATGCCTTGTAGAATTCCCGACATCTGAATCGAGCATTCTGCTTCAATTCATCATGAAATGAACAATGCGCTCGCTCTTGTTTCAATAATTACTCACTTTCCGCCTCCACTACTTTGCTAATTCGTCACTTTTTAAATCTGTTCATTTTATTTTAAACAATATATTATTAGTCATTGATTTATCATATTTATGAGATCCTCTGGCCCTGCTATTAAAACATTTTGGGAATTCTTAAGAAAACAACTTTTGTGGTTGCGATTTAATTGAAAGAAGAAGGAGGAGGGGAAACAAAAGAATCTTTTATTAATTAATTATGACGTCAAAGATTAATGGTGCTACAAAACAATCCCCCTAAACATTTTAATAAAATAATAATGAACCATCGATATATTTTCGTAGAGATTAAATATCTTATAATAATTAGATATGAAACAATGCAACTTCAGCATAAACAACACTATTTAAACAAAAATATTGATCCTCGAGATAGAATAAATGTTTACATCACTTTGCTTTGGATTATTCAACTCACTTATTTTGGAATAGTGGAGTAGTAAATGATTTTCCGATTCACTTATTACTGTTGAACTTATCCAACCCATGAACAAGCACCTAACTTCGTGGGCTTTCGATAGCCCAACAATATTACACTAATATAGGGCATCACTGCCTACTGATAAAAGTGTGATAAAAATGAGACACGCACTTGCAAAGCTGATCGAACTTGTAAAGTCAATTATATTTGCAGTGAAAATTGTACAAAACCGGTTACGCGAACATCGTTACAGTGGCATAGTGTCGGGGCTTCGTTGAATGACTTGTCGAAAAACTAAGAGGCAGGAAGTTTTGTGTTGTGCACACCGGAGCATAAATCGAGCAGGAGGATTATTTTTCTTCGACAACAATAGCGTCGCCTCATCATTTCAGTACGCACTGATTATTGGAATATATACAAATATAGTTCTACAAGCATTTATACCACAATACAACATGTTAAGCAGATAGTGATACAGTTTTGTAAGGAGATATGCGAGAGCAAGAAAGTTGAAATGAATATGTGTGCACCCTTCATATATTCGTTGTATTTATTGGTGACAAAGTTTCATGCTCTATGGGAAAAAGTTATACAATGACAATGGCACACTGATGGGCAATTTGCTTTTTCAAGAATGTTTAGCGGTTGCTTCTAACAAAGAACGTTTGGTGTCAGCAAAATTTTTGAAAAAATTGACTAATTTTATCAAAATTGAAAAAACTGATCTCAAAATTCAACGCTATTAACATTATTCATGATCCTGTTCGTCTCGCGGGCAACTTCTTCACCATGTGATAATAAAGTAATTTGGAATAATCATAGGCTGCTACAACAAATTCACTTCCACGACCATTGACGAACTGTGCACCCACCAACGGCATATTTTCAACTCGTTTGTTAAATAGCCATTCAACCTTTAAATAGAGTAAGCAAACGAATGTATTATAATTTATATACGGAAATTTAAAACACTGCAATTGGATACGTGTGAGAGCAACATCACTAATGGAACGTACGTGAAGGAAAGAAAATACAGCTATGACAATTTAACAGACGTTGACAGATAAAAGAAACAAATTGAGCACTTTTCTTATCTTTAAAGGGAGTAAGAGTAAAATGGATACGAAGAAGTCTTGAAATATAGTATTCCAGATAGTTTTTTTTAAAAGAATAGAAATGAACCGAAAACAATTTTCCAAAAACCAAATTAGAAACCAAATGTACCCAAAATTGACCAAAAATTACTATTATGAATTATTTTCTTGAAATTAGCTAATCAGATAGCTTCAGAAGACAATGGTTTTTGTAAGATATTGTAACGAACCCTAGAAGCACCAGGTTTACGAGTATGTAACTTCCACAACCGTACCATCGTATCATCACTGACTGACATAATCTGTAAAATGTTGAAGACCATGTATATATATATATGTATATATATATGTACCATAAGTTTATAGAAATAACAAGAATTATTGGCAAGCTGGTATGCGGCACCATTTAGAGCATAGGTTTTAACAGAATCAACCATCACATAGAATTTTGTACAAAATATCCACGAATTTCAAACTTAATTTACTCAAATGTCTTTCAGGCAATTATGAGGAGACAAAACTTTACAAAAGCACTTTCTGGTGCCACAGCAATTGCATTTATTTGACGGATATGTGCATCCACTTCAGCCATTAATTGTCCATTCAACGTCGAGTAAAATAATAAATGACCGACGAATGTGCCAATAATGACTTGCCTTCTCAGCACATTGATGCAGTTGACTTCATGCCTATTAGATTAAATATAAATTACTTTCATGTGTTTTTTTTACACGCAAGCGAATTGTACAAATTCAAAGCATGTCGTTATAAACAATTAAGACAAAGTTATGAAAGATATAGCTACGCTTAATAATAACTTCATCAAAGTTTCGAAGTTAGATACGAGCATTTCAAAAAAAAAAAAATACAAACTATAAAATTACTTGCCCAGTGCTAAATTTTTTTCGAGCACTTTTGAAATTCTTGACCCAAACAGCGATATTTCCCGAAACATCACAAGAGCACGTTAAATCATCGGAATGACAAGTAGCTATATCTGCTATGGCAAAATCGTGCTCCTAAAACTTTCTTCAGAATAGCTTCCGCTTTAAATCCTTAAATAAGACTGACGAACGAACGAATAAATCCAATCAAAAAAGTGCAACCTGGACACTTCCTTCAAAAGTTACAGAATCTCCGCCGGAGCATTTAAATACAAGCAATTCTCCTGAATACGATCCTGAAAGAAAGTTTGAAGATGCCAAAGTTTTGGAAATTAAATTGGAGTGATTCCAAACTAAATTCTTTCTTTACAGTTAAAAATCTATATTGAGCCTACCAACAACGATTAAGTTTTCCATATAAGTTATTCCCTTTGTAAAGCGATACGCTTGCTCACGTCTTGCTGGTTCTGAATTCCAAAAAGGTGTTTCTGGCCGATAAACAAACTGAATTGCACAAAATGAATTTGAGAAATTCTTTCAACAGTGTTTGTGAAAAATCGGATAATGAATAATGAACAGGAAATTTTAGTGAAGAATACCAACTACATGAAACTACGAGAGAAATGAAAAGAACGTACATCATTCATTTCTCTCCATAAAAGTAATTTGCAAGCTCTCACATCGTAAATCTACAAAAGACGAAATTTAAAAACGTGATTACCGATTAAAAACGAAGTAAAAATACAACTAAAGTTCCCAGAAAACTCAGAAATAAAATTGATGAAATCAGTAAAATCACCATTATTCCCTTGGAAGTAGCAACAACCAAAAGAGGAAATGTTCTGCAAATTGGTGTGCAGTATTTCGCTTGTAATACGATAATAGGTGCGTCAGAATCATTAACTTTAATTGGCAGATTATCACATGTGAAATTATTCAGGCCTTGATCCCAGCTTAATGTCGCAATCTGGAATTGATTACTGAACCCAATAGGAGATCACTGCTGTAGCTTTGGTGACAACAGAAAGAAAATTATTCCACTCAAGATTTCAGCTAAGCTTTCTTGTAAATATCCGGTATGTTTCATGTATCTTTGTGACTCTTTAATGTTGGTTGCATCCGAAAAATGGTCAGCAAGGTCTTACACTTCTTGTAAAATTTCTATGATTCATTCAAACACAGATTGCTATAAAACTGGAAACATCAATTATTTGCAGCTGTGTTTTACGAAGATCAGAGATGTATCGTAAAAAAAGCACGGAAAATCAATTCAACTAACGTCATTAAATTTACAGTTTTATGCCATTAAATATTGTGAAAGAATTTAATGACCATTAATAACGGAATTTATAACCGATGATTTCGCAAAACGAGGAAAATACTAATGTAAGGGAGAAACACTGTGGAGAATAATTCACATAAATAATCATTAATAAAATTAAGCACTAAACATCAAAGATTTCGTTGACAACTCCATGAATCAGCAAATTGGATACAAAACATTTCTAGATATTTTCTCGAAATTTCCAGTTATTTCTAGATTTCATCCGACCGATGGAAAACATAGAAAGAGTAACAAACCTGATTTTTATGTATCACACAAGAAAGCGTCAAATCTTCGACTTCATGAAAGAAAATTGATAGATTATTAACCGAATGCGAAACACTTCCAGTCGATATCAAAATTTCTTGCCGCAATTCGAACATTTGGACTTTACGTCTAAGTTAACATCAAAAGTTCAATGTCTAAAGTAGACGAGGAATTCGCACACAAGTATGATTTTTAATGACAGAGGAGTTTAAAACTGAAAATCTATTTGTCATTTAGTTCGATGGGAAAAATTAACGCTAATTTAATGCAGAAGAAAATTCGACCAAATGAATTCATTGCAATATTCGTATAGCACTACTTTGAAAAGTGCATAAGGTTACGGGGACAATGAGACTGAAAAGGGTTACTATGACAACTTCAAACGGTATTAGTAGAAGTTGGCGTTGTCACCGTAAGTGGAAGCGTCGAATCTAAGAAACTGAAACTATTTAAACGGATTTGATTATAAGATACTGTGTATTATCACAAATATTTTATGCTAATGATCTTTTATTCCTTAAATACAATTACACCAAAATTCATATATTGGTGCAGTAAAACCTGAAAAACATTTCTGATTCTTTACCTGATTTTCCATTCAAATTACTAAAATTAGAATGATAATAATCGCACTTTAAGCAACCTTAACCCACCTACACTTTGCCTGGGTCTAGCTTATGATATGACCATTGATAAATCTTACTGCAAGGGACATACGCAGATAACTGGAACACGTAATTAAAATAAAAAGAGATACTGGAGGTAATATATTCAACGGAAACAAAAAAGGCAAGCGAACATGAGTTTCAGAAAGAAATAATTCAAAGAATGGTAAAAAAGAGAGAAAGAACAATTTAAGAAAATGCAATTAGATCCAAAATGAAAGAAATATAAATCACTGTTAATTGGATGAAGACAGTATACACTTGACAGTGAGCACAGAAAAGAATTAAAATACTAGTATGACAGAATACCACCACGAAATTTCCCGTGCTGATAAAATTTCAACAAAAAAATTATAAGGAAATGAGATTTTAAAGAATAATGCTACCTACAAAATTTACACAATTTATTAAGCCCAGAATAACTAACAATTTTGTAAGAAAAATTCAAAATTCAATTGCTTTCAATATTCGCATGTAAAATTTAATGAAGTTCATGCAAATTCCAATTTCAAGGAAATAATAGAAAGAAATACAAGAGAGATAAAAGTAATACAAACAGTAAGTCACACTTTGCTCAACGAAAAATAAGTCTCATCTGGTAACTCTAATCAGTGGATATGTTATTTTATAACTAATTTCAAAGAAATTAAGCATGTTCGAGACGGACATAACAGATAACTTAACACTGCCCTACCTACAATTAAACGATTCATAAGTTAAAAGATCCATTTACATTGGAATGGCAGTCAGAAGCAGGTTCAAAATATTTTATATCATTAACAAACCAAATACTATATACAAAAATTGCCGCAAACTAACAATTAACTTTTCGAATTTTCTTCCACGAATTCACATCATTTCACTCAGGCCTATTTTCTGATTTAATCAAAAGTGAAATTAGCATCTAGAACAAAATACCTTATTGACGATTTAAAAAACAAAATTTTGAAAATGAAATAAAAAAATGCACAATCTAAAGTCATGCAAAATCCTCCAATAATAATTTTTGGCTCTTCAGCGTCTTATGATTAAAAATTGCAAATTCCTAAGAAACCACAACAAATATTTTTCAAAAGCTGAATCAACTAAGTTGAAATGATTTCATTCTACCCATTTCAACTGCATCTGTTTCGTTCTGTGCTCAGTGACTCGGCATTTTCATCGTCTTCATGTACTGGTGATAAAGTTGTTTTATCGCTTGCTTCTTTCGCTAGAGAGGCTTTGTGACCTGCTGAAAGCTTTCTCGGCTTTTCTTCTAAGTGTAATTTTTCTGAAAGCGGTGCAGATTCACGAGTTTATTAGAGACTTAAATAGAGAAAAAAGAGGTATGCTTTCGGAGAGAAGGCTCACTCACTTGCTTAAAAAGCTTGCTTAAAAATTTTACACAGATAATTTGAAAAAAAAAGTAAATTTCCCCAATTATAAGGTTTACCGGTAGTTGTTTCGCCAGGTAATATCAGATTAGAGAATGACGACTTCCTACCAATGCTCGTTTCAATCACTAAACTAAACAAATAAATTAAAGCTTCTCTGGGTAATTTTTCTGGTGTAAATGTTTTACAAAATATAATGAAAACCAACCAGATGATACAAATTGAAAATCTGAAATCGTACTTTCCTGCAAATCTTGTTCGGAACTCTTTCGGTGCGAATAACGTGACGTATTGAGTGGTGAAGTAGGATTAGATTCGTTAGTAATTAAAAAACGAGGTTTTACTGAAAAATTTGCATTTTATAATCATGAAAACCATTGAGAGAACAGTCAAGAAAAATTATCTGCAGTATGCAACAGAATAACAAAATGAAATATGTAAATTATAAGAAATATGTAAGTTTCAACTATTTAATGAATTCTTGTATCATGAGAATATAGCAAAATCATACAAGAATCAATTCTGAAAGTAAGCGCATCAATGTCAGAATTTTTATGCAAAGCGATGATAGTCTTTCTCGGATGTTTATCTGTTTGATCGGAATTGGCAACATCATACGCTGTCTGTCGCCTTATACGAGTATTTTTGCAGTATGGATAAGTCATATTATATGCTTCGCTCTCAAGTGCGTCAAATGAATTGCCCTGTAAATTAAACCCATATACTTCGAGATTCAGCAAATTATTTATATATATATATATCATTATCACTATCACCAAAACATGAAACTACTGAAACAAAACGCGAAACTACTATAGTAAGCTTAAACTATGAGCAATACTAATTTATTTTCATATAGTAAATACGATGCAGTAAATATTGTCATTTATGATAAACAAGTTTAACGATTCTGTTAATTGAAGTTTTTTCAATACTACTTTTATTAGAGTGCGCAAGGTGAACACGTTGGCGACATTATGCCATATCCGTTCGTCAACAGCGACATTTTCAGTACAAAAAATTGAAAATAAAATAGAAACAAACAAACTTTGTAAAAATCCTGTCGTTTAGAAGATGCACGTGGTGTATTATCAACATCTAACAAATGTCGGCTATAAACACCAGTTGATACAGGCTGAAAAAAAAAAATAGATCCTCAAATAATAACACAAATATTTACACACTACTTCTATAAACCTCAATTAACTAGTATCAGTGATCTTTTCGAACGATTTCCAAAAATAATTGACTTTAGAGGATGATTAATAAATTAATACCGAATTGAGCTCGTTGAATTTATCTCTTAGGAATACGCTAATTGATTCATTACGAGGGATTTTCATTCGCATTTCAGCCGATACAGTTAAACCGTTGACTTCCAGATTGTTTCTTGTGTATTTTCTGGAAAATTTACTATCCCGCACATCTGTTTGGTTACAATCCACTTAAGAAGTAAAAATATCAACTAATTAACGGAATCCTTCAGCTAACATTGCAGTTTGGCAGTATTTCTTTTGAAAATATGAAAAAAATAAAGTATTGGTGTACACAAATAATCACACTTACTGATCGTTCACGACCAGTTGTTTGGTTTCAGCTGTCGCTTGTTCTAGATTCACTTTACTTTGTGCGGTTGGCAAACCGACAAAGCTACCATGTACTTTTAAATGCTGAACTGCTTCTTTTACCTAAAACAAATTAAAATGATAAGAATAAAAACTAAATAAATCTGAAGCCAGTTAAGCATCTTACCTGAATATGTTCGTGATAATCAATTAGACGATCTGCTCCAGATTTTGCATTACTCATTAAATACGGTTTCACGTAATTCTCCGCAAATTTATTGAATGCCTGACGATACTAAAAAAATTTCTTATACAGTCAATAAAAGCCTGGCAGAAACGAAGCAACTTTAAAACAAAGGAAATGGAAAAAGAAGCTTACCCAATATTGTCCACGATAACCAGTTATTCCTTCTACACCAGTCATCATATTGTTAATTACCTTAACAAAACATACAAATGATAATATTGGTATTTCTCGCTATCAGAAAAATAATTAAAGAAAAACGAGAAGAGTCATCAGATCCGGAAAAAGTTTTAAAAGTTCTTTATAAAACATACATTTTCGCTGACCATTTCAAAAACAGTTTTCTTGTGCACTTCGTTTTGTTTAACTTTTAATAATTTCACTAGCTGTTTGATTGTTCCACCCTATCAATGTAACTATTTGAAATGGTAGAATAAGACTAATTAAAAGATACATTCTTCAGCATGCTATTTTTCTTACCCTTATACGATGTTAATATTGAGAAGTTCCAACCAATTTTATAGTAGAAATGACAAAAATATATTTTAAAAATACGATTTAATATACCTGTACAAAAACAGTGAATAATATGACAACAACAGTACAGGATGCGAACATATTTTTAGCCTTCATTGCCTGAAAATTTTCATCAAAACAATTTTCATTCAAAATTTTTAAGTCCAAACTGGTGAAATACAACAGTTCCATTCAAAATTGTGTCCGCTAATAAGCAGAAAAATCGTAGATATATATAGTAAAAGAAAAAGAATATGGTTTCGAATGCTACTTTTTAAATTTGTAGTCAATTTTACTACCAAGTTAATTCTTGTTTATGGTATGAGGAAGTAAACTGTTAACGAGATAAAGACAATTACGACAAAGGGAAATATGAAATAGGAGTAATATGAATCAAAATAAAATAAATTGGATTGAAAGTAAACTAACTAAAGGATCAAGCGACATAACAAGGCCATAACATACAGCACCTCGAATACCGCCATAACTCATGATAAATTGACCAACCAGGTCAATCTTCTGCACTCGATGTATATTTAAAATATACGTGAGAAAAAAAACTCCTGAAGAAAAATGAATAGCAACATTATATATGCCAAAAAATATAAAAATTGATAGATTTCATCTAAATACAAAAAATTTTCTGTCAACTGAATGACTTGCTCGCTTCATTAATTTACTAGTAAATAATTATTCATTTACAATTCTTTTCAAAACAAAGAAAGAAAGAAGCGTTATACCGATAAACCGTTGAACAAGACAACTAATTAAAGTGCCAACAATAAACACAGCATCCCAATCGTGATTCTTTGAAACAGCTGATATGCCGAGATAAACGAAAATTAGGGCTTCACAGCTAAAATCCTAAAGATTTATACCTATTTGCTTAGCGAGGATCAAAAGTAAATTTATATCAGAAATTTAAATCTAATTTATAAAAATTAAACCTTGATGAGAGTGTTTTCATAAAGTACTGAACAGTAACAAGCGATTTCCGGGATAAATTGCCTACAACAAACTGCTTCATGGTTAGTCCGCATATAACGATTCTGTAAATCAGAAACTATAATGATGATTCAAAATAATGGCTAGTTTTTGTTGAACAAAATAAATACTAGGCTATAAACGAACGCTAAAATGCCGGACATAGCAACCATTTCTGCTGTTAAATATGCAAGGTACGGAAAAAGCAGGCATATTAGCGGCTGGACAACATTCAGATGCTGAGAGTGCCTGAAAGTAAATTTATTTTGTAAATTTACATATCCATTCTGCATAAAACCATAGATTATGAATCACTTGTATTTATTTAGACTAGAAGCCACAAGTGACTATCAATGAAATAACAAAAGTGAAAAACTTGTAAATAGCAACTTTGCGTATATTTCAACGCATACTCCCAAATACCAAAGAAAATTACTTGGTTGTAAAGCCAGTAAGGATAGCCCAAATCAGTCCAATTAACAAACCACCAAATGAAACAACAAAAAATGAAGAAGCAGCTGTAGCATAATCTGCACCCGTAAGAGTACGTGCATCCACCATAGCATTGAAGGTTTGATAGAGTACCTTAAAATTTTATCCCAGTTATTTAAAATTATTTGTAAATGTTAATTTACAAAAATTCTGATATACATATCAGAATTCTACAGTCTTCCTATCAATGTCCAAAAGATCTGCGAACAACTATTTTTACTCAATATTTAAAATCTTACAATTGTTACGGCATCGTTTAACAATGATTCACCAAACACACAGATATAAAGTAATTGATTAACATGAATTTCTTCAAATACACAAAGGACAGCTACTGGATCCACAGCGGATATTAACGTTGAAAACAGGAACAGTTCGATCAGTGAAGTATGCACTTTGAAGTAATCATGTAAAAAATATAATGTCATTCCTGAAAAGAAGTGTGAGTGCAGTACTTATGCATGAGGACAAAACAAAAAAAGCAGGAGAAATAAGGAAGTTTCGGTATGCTGATATAATGACATATTTGTAAATCAGAAATTACCAATAGCGAAGACATTCCACAACGTTCCGAGAACTGCGTAAGTCATTATAGTTCCAAAATTCCTATAATTGAAACCTAATGAAACTGTAAAATTATAAAGGGTTCAGTAAGTAATAAAAAAAGTAAAAAACCACCTGAAAAAGTCTTCATTAGGCATAAAATAACCAGCATCAAGCGCAATAGGTGGTAAGAGATATAAGAAGAACCAGTCTGGTTTGAGATACATCTGCTGAAAAATGGTCAAAAGCACGAAAATTTATGATTTTGTTACTACTTTCATTAGACACTTCACTAGCAATGTTATTTGAAAAACGTGAAAGCTTCATCAAATAAAAAAAAATTCCGCTAAATGGAAAAGCTTGAGATAGGACCAAAAATAATTCTTAATTAAACGAAAAAGCTTACCTCGTCCGGATAAACGAGATGAAAGACATAGCCAAAAAATAAACCAAGAACAATTAGTAATGCTGAATCGGGCAATAAACTATGAACATTGCGAAAGCGATGGAAAACTGCAATTTGCAGCACGCAATTTCAGTCTTTGTATATGTAAATAAATAATTTCTAACTATAAAATTTTGTTAGGATTTTTTAGCTAAATAATTTCCAACTATTAAATTTTGTTATGATTTTTCAGATGTATCACGTTTAAAAGCTTGACAAAACTTAGATTAATTCTATCGACCATTATGGAAATTTGCTGAAATATTAAAACACTAACTAATTTTCATAACGGTGACTGTAAAAAACCAAAAAGCAATGGCAAGAGGTGCGCTAACATGTTCCCATTGAAGCTTAAATAATGATATCCTGTGATGCCTATGAGCATCACTATCACCACGATCTGTACTTTGTGATACCACTTCCTCTTTCTCTTTGTTCTGTAATTACTAATCTTCTTCACTTAATTTTGCTTATCACATAGTTTTTTTTTTTTTGTATCAAATGTCTCTCATTAATAGGAACAATTTATATTAAAGTTTTTTACATAGCTAAAAAGTCAACAGAAATAATGTCGAAAGAAATGTGTCAGTATGGAAGAGAGAGAGAGAGAAAAAGGAAAATTTTGTAAATCAGCAACATCCATCCAATAATTTCAAACGATAACGTCCAAAACTATCATATCATACCAAAATTTTCTTTTCAATTGTAATTCTTTCAGATAGATTTCAGAGGAATAAAAATGAAACAAAATGTAACATAGAACTACAAATAAATGTCACTTGTTGTTAGCAAATGCATTTCAATTGAAAAGGGTCAGAAAGCAAAATATTTTGCTTCCAGCTTCAGCAACAATATGCTCTTAGTCATTATAACCATTATATTTTTTTGTATTTTTGTTGACATATTGATTTCATTCGCTTTTTCAGCTGCTATATCATTTCTTCCCTATTAATAACTATTGCAAATATAAACAGCTTGGCTAAGTGTAAACTTTCTTAATGAATTCCACAATGAATTCTGTCCACTTTATTACTTTTAATAGTGGCACTTTTGTTAAGTATTTTCTATTCATTGGTAGTAAGTACAAAAATTTTAAACTTTCCGAGGTCCTAAAATGATAATCATACCGTAAGATGTGGTAGAACACTTTCACATGTGCCAATCGTCGTGTCACAAACGGATTTCTTTTATTAAAAATCAGGTAGCTAATTTCTAAGTTAATTTAAAGTTACCTAAGAAATGCTTTAATTTTCACTTTACATTATGATAGAAAATATTCCTATCACAATAAATTATTTTGAGATTGCAAGACAAATTTTAGAACAAAATGAAGTTATGCAGATTTTAGAATATAAAACTTTGCATGTCTCAGTGCATAACTGCTTTCTGTTGTTCTCGAGAATCAGTTAGTCAGATTGGCTTTTGCAATAGGAAATTGGTGCCAGTCTTGGAATTACTCAAATAGCAATCCAGGGAGAAGTTCAGGTAAGCAAACGAGTAATAAGAAAGAAGTCAACTTAACGTAACTTAAAAGAATCGAATCCTTCAGCTGGTGCATTTTTTTTAACGACTATTTTAGAACATGTAGAAAGTGCTGCCAACAGCACGAGAGCATTTGTCAGTTGTACAGATTTCCATAACAAAGTCATTTGTGCAATCCTGAAACTAACCGGACGATTTATTCAAATTCTTAAAGCACAAACAGAAAATATTAGCCGTAACAAAGAGCATTTTCCGTAAATGAAAATAAAGGTATAACATCTCATAAACTGTTAACTATATCCAACGTTGATGACTAACCGCGCTAACGTTTGTTCAAATTGATACAACGGCTTAAAAATTCTGCTGTTACTAACCATTGTAACCGATCAAAATGAAAACTGCTAGCTTTTTCATTCTTTGTTTAATCTCTTATCTGAATTTTGTTAGCTATAATGACCAAAAAGGCGGGGGGGAGAGGCGGGGATAAGTAGGGAAAGCGGTGCATGTTGATCGACAATGAATTGGCCTGCTCATGTATGAATAACAATTTAACAATCTGAAACAGATTTCGAAAACGACCAGAACTGAGAGTTGTGTATAGTGCTAGATGGCTCTCATTCCGGCATTCCAAGTGATTCATCTCATGTGATGATGACCTATATAGCTGATAGTGTCAAGTATTCCTAGTTCTGCTGAGGTCAACTCATCAAGATGTCATCAAAGATTAGATAATTGAGAAGGGAATGTTGTGCTCAGCTTTTTATCGATAATACCAAAATTACTGACCGACCAGGACAGTAAATACTAGATTTTTTTTTTTTTTTGAAATTTTTGTCATGATGAAAACAACTTGCTTTCAAAAAACTCTAGATGGAAACAGTTGAAATGCAATTAAGCGTCATTTTTCATTCATAGCAGAATATTGTTGCTTGTTGCAGATGTCATAAGTGTGTCAAAAAATGATGTGAAATGATTAGGAAAACTAATTTTAAAATTTTTCAAACTGAAAAGTGGACTTTGCAAGAATGCAGCGATGCATTTTGACTGGTGATAGTTATCGAAATATTTGGAATGTTAGAAAAAAATAGCTGTTAAAGTATTTTTAAAACAAATTGATGCCTATTATTCTAAAATTTTAGTGATAGAAGCAATAATCACAGTGGAATCCGTGTATAGAGTACATTCATCATCACAAGAATTCTGAACGGTCAGAGCGAACCAGTTCTCAAAAAGTATAATATCAGTGATGCATTTTTTTCCCGATAAATTTCATGCTCGGTATGCGTGATTTAAATTCACTGAGAAATATCCCCTTCCTCCTTCTCTTAATGTAATTTTTCCTTCCCTTTGGCTTTCTTCATATCAAATAATTTCACAATATAATTAATTAATTACCTTGTATGGAAAGATATCTTGTTAATGGCATCCTCCATTTTCATATCAAATGATAACAGCAATAAATAAAGTGTTGGAGGGAGAGAGCTAGAACTTATGGATCATGATATCTCAGGTGATATAGGTCTGAAGAAGAGATTGCATTCATTAAAAAGAGTGGTAAGATTGAATGAATATTGACTGATACTAACAAAATCAGATGAGGGATTTCGAACTCTGGTTATGATACAACTTTATTTTTACTTTTAAAGCTAAATTCTTAGATATTTTTCTTGACGCAATCCCTAATGGACTTACAGAATAACAGCATTTTTTTTATTCAGATTTGAGTTTGATAAGAATTCCTGAATCCTCAGGGTATGTGGAAGATAATTTCCACGTGTCCTGAATGAAACCCTTCTCATCAGCACACACACACACATGCATATATACAAATATAAAACCTGAAGTTGCCTTTAGCCAGTGTATGAGCTAAAAAACTTTGCAGTTCAGAGCCCTTATCACTAGAGAAACAAAAACGACGTCTCATGATTATGGATTTCGGAAAAGGTAATCCACTCTAATTATAAAATCTTATTGTGGATGCAACCACTTTTTGTATGTTGCTTATAGTTCACCGCACACTACATTCAGATAGATCTTAATCATGGGAATTCCATTAACAGGAATTGGTGATGTTATAGCAAACCGATAAAACTAAACTGCTAGTATGAGAAAAGGAAATGAATGATCTGAAATAACGTAATTCCTTAACTTCTAAAGTATGTAGCTTATCTTAAAAATACTTAAGGAAATTAAACAAACACCTACGACTGACACTAGACATCCGAAAAGTTGCGCATTAATCAATAAATTATCCATCTTCTCCCGTTTTCTTCATGATTGTTTACAGTTTGACTACCTTTTATCTCAAAACTCAGGGATCCAAAATATCCCAGGATAGTTAGCTCATTAATTATAAATAGTATTAGGAAATGAGGCGTCCACAAATCACTCTATTTTTTTACTTTTTTAATGAATACATGCACACTTTTCTTGACAGCTATCAAGCAATCATACCATTTATCCAGGTAAACTAAAATTCTTGAATTTCATAGCTCAAAAATACAATGCTTCCTCCTTATCCTACTAAGTTTGTAAGTTTGAAGTGTGAAGTTTTGAAACTGCCTTCGCTGCTTTTCCGGTCACTATTATGGTTGTGGTGATAGGCTGTAACGAATTAGTTAAAGTAGAAAAGCCAGCAGAAAAGGCTTAATCTTTAGTAAGTTAAGCTGTTTGCTAACGAAGAATAAGTTTAGCCAGTAGGACAAAATTATAATAGTGATCATATATAGGTCAAAATCAGAGGGAAAAGACAGACATACAATTTTGATTGATATTTGGAGCCGAAAGCAGTAGTAAAGAATTTTGCTTGTATTAGGGACGCCACAAAAACATCTACATAATTATTATTCATAGTGATCGATGGCCTTCAATATGGAAATTATTTTTTCATGAAAATCTCTACAAAAGTCATAAATAAATGCTGCAACTCCTCGGAACATCCTATGTCTTCTTATTTCCATCAATAGGTCTTCTAACTTAGGCGACGAGAAGGAAAAGGGTGCCAACAAGTCGATGTCACATTGTTGTCTTCGTTGATCTCCTCATTTAAGAGCCATTTCTTTTCATGAATTATCGACTGGCACTGCATGGAACACTCTTCTCTATTCAAAACAAAAAAACTAATAAACTGCGATTTAAACATATAAAAGTTCGAAGAATATCGTAAAAAATCTGCTTCGGTACAGCGAACAAACAAGCCGATGAGATTGTAAATTGAAGCATAAAGATGAGAAATTGAATTTATGAACATACGATACGCGCTGTGTCTATCCAAGGAAATGATCACATTAGTTAATTTTCACTAAAATATCGTTCATTGGTGAGCATTTTATTTTATATAATTAATTCAATCGTCTTTATGTAATTAATCATCATTCTTGAGAAAAGTTGTGATGATGATTTTTTTTTTGAAAAATCATTGTGACTTTTTCCAAGGATGGTGATTAATTATAGAAAGATATTAAGTTGAAATATGAGAATCTAACATTTAGCCTTTGTTAGATGTTTATGTAACAGAATATAGTTTACAGAAAGGACTTAGCAACTCAACAACTCGTACCATTGATTTTTATTCTGTTGAAGGAAGTGACGTAGAGAGGGTGTATGGAATACATGAAAAACAATACAGCGATGTTTTTTACACCTCAAAAAATGATAACATATATTTGCACTGCTAAATTTTTAATATTTTTGAGAATCTTGACTTTTTCAATATTTATCAATTCACTTTAATATTAAACATACACCAAACAGAGTCTGCGCTCAGAAAATATCTAAGCAAAAATTTCTAATGAAGCTTATCAAAATTCACACGACAAAGTTAGTTCACGTTAATAAATTTTATATTTGAAAAGATAAGAGCTAATTTAAAAAAATTTATAAAAACTCATATTAGACTAATCGGCGATACAGTCATTAACAGTATCATCAATAAACAAATCAAAAACTCGTATTTCAGTTAAAGCCTTTTCACATTATTAATACTCATAAACCAAAACTTCTACATCTACCATGGCCTATATAGTCTCTTTATCCTCTGCACTATTGAAGTTCTATCTTAGCGTTACAGCAGTATAAATAGCCTGTTAAATTGTACAGTGATAAAAGCTCAAGCGTTGATTATGCTTATCCGAGGACAATGTTAGAACTTTTGGAAAAATTACTACTATCTGCCTAAAGGTTAAATAGAATACATTTATTCTTTCATAAGAAAGTACATAGAAATAATCAGCGAAAAAATAATTAGACTGTCTAAAGGAAAAAGTTATCTGATTTGCAAAATTCTAAGCTTCTAGGTTATAACTCACATGTATCGGAGTAAAAAAAAATGATAAGCAAGAAAAAGTGAGTGCCTACTAAAAATTGTGCAAACATTCGGGATTTTCTCGTTGTACCACTATTACAGATTAATTGAATTAGTGGATACTTAACTGTTAGAAAATCATTAAAACGAACAATTCAGCATGCAACCCAGAAATTCTGCTACTTTGCAGAAGGCTGCATATCCCGGACGAACCCGTGTCATAGTTTAATCGCTTTTGAAGCTCTCTCTATTAATGCTTCTATGAATAAAGTTTTGGCTGGCTGCTAAATAAACTTGAAAAAGTAGTCGCCTGCATACTTAAAATAAACAAACCAGGAAAATATAACTATCTAACTTCCTAAGAAAGCCAGAAATTCAACAGCTATGTCTGAAGTCATCTTAATGATAATTTCATGCATTAATAAATAATATACTGCAGATTTTTTGCAAAAGTTTTGACTGTACTTCAAATCTGATTGCTTGTTTAGAATTAAGTTTTTTTATTTGAAAATAATTTCATTTCATTTGAAAATATAAAGCATAGATGGTCAATCAAAATAAATGAGGGGACGAATTAGTGAAATTAAAGATGCACGCTTCGGAAAGATAATTAAGTGGTTTGATGTCGTCGCTCCGATGGATAATGCTGTTAGTGATTTGATTGAGGACAACAGCGACAAATGCAGTTGGAAAACGTAGCGCTTACTTACTAGTCACATTGGTTTTGCAATACAGCATTAGAATGGACAAACTGTGTAAACAAACATAAAATTGACTGAATTGAGATAGAAATTTCCATATGGTCAGCTGATGACCAAATAGATATCAGCGTATGGTTTACATAAGAAAGAATCAGCAAATTCAAAGTAAATCCTGGGAAGTATATTTAGCCTCCAAATATCTATTTTTTTTGTGAACGATGAAAACTTTTGTATTTGACAATGAAACCAATGAAGAAGTATGGGAAGAAAATTAGATGAAGACATTTCAGCCATATGCTTATATAATACTTTAACTACAAATAGATACATTATGACAAATGTACCTAAAAAAGCGATGAAAGTATTTTATGGGAAGAATGAAGTGGAGGGTACCGAGGAGAGTGACACAAAAAACTCCGAATAGCGTATTGTCCCCTATCCTTTCTTCATGCCTCCTCAACTGACAAATTACCTGTCATCATCATCCAACCCTCCATCACTTCCTCGTTGCGCTTAATAACATATTGTTCGAATGTACAATGGGACATTAGAATGTTAAGGAAGATTAGTTTAACTAAGCAAAAGGATTGGTTGTTCATAACTCATCATGAAGAAAACATCAAGAACTCTTCAATCTTTTTAGGTCGCATTATTTAGATAAACCGATTTTTGTCAAATGAGAGGCGAAGCACAATGAAGCGAATCTTACTGATCTCAAACTAAGAAGATGTTATTGTATTTATCATCAACAACTCTTCAATCTTTTTAGGTCGCAGTGATTTCTGCAACAAAGCATAAGGTTGAGAAAAAGGTTGAGAAAATGAAATTAGTAATTTTCTTTTTGTATTTCTTTGAAATGAAAAAATATTCAGTGATATAACCGAAGGCTAATAATAATGTTTAATGTATCAGAAAGAACATTAGAAAAAATATTATTAATGATGGTGATAACCGCGATGACGTATGAATGGTGGTAGTGTGCTGTTGCATTGTGGTAAGAGAAGAAGAGACAATTATTCAACTTACATAATTATTCGGCAATTCATTCTGTTGAAATGAATATCTGGGTCTGTTGAAAAACGATCATTCTTCTACATATTCTTATAAAATTATAAGGTTTAACTTTCTAAAGTTGGAAGTTGAAAAACACTTATGGAAGAGAATTTTTTTCTTTTGGATTTCTCCAAGAAATATAATTCGAAACGAATAAGTTAGAATGTGAACAAAAGAAAAGAAATAATATTTGCAAAAGCTTCAGCTTTTGTAAATATTATTTTTCTGCACACATTTACACTTTTTGTTGTACAGGAAAGGTAAGAAAGTAATTCACTACAAAAAATAAAAAATTTGGCCTTATTTTAGGATTTAAAATTTAATATTAACCATCAAAGTTTGTGGCTTCTAACTTTCGATAGCTAATTTCCGCTCAGTTTCTAATGTAAAGTTGCATGCACACAACAATCTTACCTAATTTTAAGCGAATAAATAATTTTCAGGTTGAATATATTGAATTCATATTTTATCACAACAATATCTATTGTTTACCAAAGGCTGTTTGCTTTGAACAAACAACATCATCCTGATTATGTTATGTTCATGAATATTATCAAACAAAAATATATGCTAATTCTCATTTAGGAAATCACAGTAACGCAATTATTTTGTTATGTCGCATAGATCAGATTAATTGTTTCATCAACCCAAATAGATCAAAGTTAATTGTTGGTGTGACCTCTGTCAGTGTAAAATGAGAGATTACAAACAAAACAGTTTATCCGAAGCTACTTATTTGAAAAGTGAAGGTGATAAAACACTAGAAAGTGATGCAATCAGAGATGATACAAATTAGTTATCACTCTTTCTGGCATGGGTTCCGCAAATGTAATTGATGTATGCATTCATTTATTTATGTACACTGATCTGTGGTCTAAACGTACAGCATAATTTTTTTTCATCAAAAATGCAAATAAATTTATTTTTAAAGATAAGATTGAAATAATTAAAGGGCCATATTATTAATAACGTTGCGGGCAGTTTCTAAAATATTTTAGAACAATGACAAAACAAACATTCATTGATAACTTTCTTATATTAGAAGAAATTTCAGAATTCAAAAAAATACTGGAATTAATAATTTGCTCTGCTAAATACCATATCTATTTTATGGGATCGTATTGCAATATGGTAAATATAGCAAATAGAATCCGAACTATCTATTCTTAATTCATACGAAAATGGCTAAAGCAATTTTCTTCTTTAAATATAGTGATTGTTTCTTCGTCGTATTGTATTTAATGAAAATTATAAAAATAAAAAATTAATGAAATTAGAGGTGAAAAGAATGAAAGGTAAAGTTTCGTGAAGACAAACAATAAAAATTTGCTATGAAAAAACCGCTAATTTAGATTATTTCATCAATCTTTTTTTCTTTTAAAACAAATAAAATTAACAGAATGACAATAGTCTGAGAAGTAAACAAAAAACATAGAACAAACAAGTACAAACAGAAAGGATCAATAAGAATCAGAGGGGATAAGATGAGCAGAGCAGATTAATAAGGTATGTATGTCACAGTCTCATCCGACTTTAAGGAGTACACAGCAATGCTAATATTTATATGGAGAGAAGTCATCGATCGGAACAGTTATTATTCGCCGTTGGTTTGCTAAAAATATTCTTAGCTGATCGTCCAGTATTCCCCGGCTGATCGAGGGTACACAATGTGGACAATCGAATCGTTCGCTTCAAATCCGATCAATATTTCTGCAAAATTTTCAGCAAAATTATTCAATATACATTTCTTTTGCAAGTTAAATATATACCTAATAATGGAAAAATAGGTGCAGAAAATAGAACTGCTAATACATGAAATTGAAATGAGTAGGGTTTTTTGTTGATAATTGTATATGTAAAGGTTTATGTTTTGGTTGCCAGGAAGCAAAATTGCATTGAGCAAAAAATAAGCAAACACATTAGCGTAATGAAAATTTTCGAAATTTCATTTTAAAAAGGAACACTGCTGATATCATTGAAAGCTAAAATATAATCAAAAACCTTTCCTTAATTATCGCAAAATATCTCAAAAGATTATCTCGTACTTGATTTTGAATTATAATATATTGCACAGTTTTGTGCTTTTTTTAATCACATGCTCTGGATTACGCGTGTCAAACTAACAACGGTAGTGATAATACTAGTGACATAGCGATACATGTGATCAATAACTTTAAATAAATACATACATTTCAAAAATTTTTTTTCGACAACTTTTTGTAGAAAATGTATCTGAAGGAATAAAAATTGTAAAAATTAATGTTTACTTATAAGCTTAATTGTTTGAGGAGGAGTGTCTTTAATTTTATATTTTATCGGTTATCAGTACAGTATCATTGCGGCATCCCACACTTTTTTATATTATCTATGATCAATATATTTAAAAATTCGTCCATTACTGATGGTACCATCTGATGAAAGCTTTGCGATCAGTTGCTTGATCAATATTAGGTGCTTTATTTCTTTACAGATTTAATTATATTTTTCAAGACCACTACAAGTAACATCTGAGCATTTTATTTTTTAAGAAGATAAGGGATGCTGGATGTGCAAGGGAACGCTACTGTAGTCCTGATAATAACAGGAATCTTATTTTAAAGATTAAGATTATAATTACCATTTCAATAAAAAATTTTGCTTGAAACTCAATCTTCTATTTAAATCTAATTACATTATATATTGTCATCAAATTTAACAGTCCTATATAAATTCGAACTTCTTTCACTTCCAATACTTTCGATTATACAGGGATGAGCCGAAAAATGGCTCACCAGAATGAATCTTTTGTTCCTACAACAACTTTTCAAAGAATAATTAGTAAAAATTATGCGATGAAAGCGGATAAAAAGCAAAATGTGAAAGAATCAAATGTTACCAATAACTATTTGAAAACAATTATTAAGGTAATGTTCGTTAAATTCAAATAATTGAAATATGCACCGAAATATTCAATTTGATTAAATTAAAGACTGAATTAAGCTCAAGCAAAGGCTTCTGCTCTTTTAAATTCTCCATTCTAAACTTCAAATGAAATAATATTGAACGAATCGAATTTTATTCAAAACCTATCATTTTAGCTTCTGATCGTTTTATTATTCCCAGCGGCTCTTCTTTTTGGCTTATCTTTTTTATCAATCGAGAAAGTTGATAATAAAGCAATTCCTGGAAAAATTTTCAATGAAACAGAATGCTCTCAAATGTGCAGGTAAATTGCAACATCTGTTTTGAATTTTCAAAAATTTTCATCAGGCATGCTTTTAAAATTAAGAAACACGAAATGTTGTCATTTCTATTTCTCTTCATTTTTCTTTCCTGCAATGAATAATCTTCATTCTTTGGTTTTTTGTCTCATCTTGAAGATATGACAATTTAAATGAATATTAAACCATAAGACTGATATCTTAGTTATTTTTTGTAATTGTTGGCGAAAACATTAATCAGTTTCTCTTAACTATGATCTCGAATTATTTTCCGTGTTCATCATCACCTTCCGGTTACTTACATTCAAATTAAAAAAAGCAGTTCTTCACTCGTATAATTTTATTTCTGTTAAGGAATTTAATGCGTTCTGGTCTTTTCCGGAAGTTTTATTCTCGTAGCGTTATGGAAAAACTTCCATATAATTAAAAAAAGAAAACTATCGAATGAGAGGGTATCAATTTGCGCTAATACAAACTGTTGCGATTTTTTCAGGATCAGACTTGTGCAAAGTACTCCTGATAACTTAACTTTTACAACAGTTATTCGTTCACATTCAACTTATAATGCATGGCATTCACTGATAAAGAATTCAAAGAAAGAATTAATTCTTGCAGCATACAAAACAAGTCTTCGCGGCGAGCATGTTTTGAGCTATGATTATTGTCGACTGCATTCTGATCAAGTAATAATGATTATGATTTCTAAATTGACATCATTAATGGTAATTTTTTACTAAGTCAGCGATATTGAAACCAGCCCATAATATTAACAAGTCCAGAAATTTAGTTTTCTGTCATCTTATCAAGGTTAACATGTGACTACTATTAGCTCTATAATTTTAACGTTTTTGCCAGGGCAGAAAAATTCATGATGCTCTAGTAGAAGCAGGGTTGAAAAGAAATGTTCGCATACGATTGATCGAAAATTACCCTCCAAAAGATAAGGGTGACAACGAGGATGGCATCAACCTGGCTAAAGCAGGTTTCTTTACAAAACACAACTGACAGTGGAATAAGTTAAGCTAGAATAGGATTTCTATCTGTTAAAAGTCATTTGATTTTTTAAGAAAACTGTTAACAAATACAAAAAGAAATAAAATTCTCAGATTGATATGTACGGGTATAAGACTTATATTTTGAGGTGTTATTAGCAGGCGCAGTTTAAATCTTGAACATCCGCATGGTGGTGGTAGAATGCATACAAAATTTATCATTAGCGATTCTGAGCACTTCTATCTCGGATCAGCAAATCTCGATTGGCGGTCACTTAATCAAGTACTGTTCCTTCGGAAAAAATTTCTTATCAACGATAACAGAAAATTCAGTCTAATCGTAGTTAAAAATTAACATTTCTCAATATTCCACTAATTTAATTTCTGCAAATTTATTTTTCCTTCAAAAAGAAAATTGCTTAAATCATTTTCGAAGATTCAATATTAGCTCTTATGCTATTTGCTTCTTAAGAAACTTGAACTGGGAGTTGTTGTTGAAAATTGTTTATGTCTGGCGAATGATTTATCAAATATATTCGAAAAATATTGGGAAATTGCTAACAACAAATATAGAAGCAGCAATCTTGAAAATTTGACAAACTATCCAGAAATTAATCAGCAAACTGTAACTTACAATCAGCAGCGACCACTTTCAATTTCTAATAAACATGCTCTTGTTGATGTTTATATAGCGGTAAGTTGAATATAGAATATATAAGATTGAGTTTGAACTTTTATGAAAATTAGCTTTGCGTGAGAGAATTATTTGGAGTTAAGAAAAAGTTAACAAAGATAATAATATACCTAAAGCATTTTAAAGGCATCACCACGTTCACTGAACGATCCCAGAAGAGATTGGGATCTTCTCGCAATACTGGATGCTGTTGAGAAGGCAAAAAAATTTTTATACATTGAAGTAATGGACTATTTTCCGATGTTTATTTATAATCTACCAAAAAGGTAAACATATAATAGAAACAAATCTTTTCTCAAAGATAACTTCTTGGATTCAACTCATTCATACATTTTTGCACTTAAATAATTGACCTCTTTTTCAAGATACTGGCCGATCATTGATAATTCCATTCGAAGAGCAATATTACGAGATGTGGAAGTCAAAATTCTTACTGCAGCGATACATTTCCCCGAATATAGTCTAAGATTTCTTAGTTCATTAGAAGCACTGAACAGAATTAATAATAGCAGCATAGAAGTGGTTCGTTTCTTTGTGAATCACTTATCGCCATTTGAATTGTTGTTTTTTTTTTTTGTCTGTAATGTACCGGAAAGATTTTAACAATTCAATGGGAGGAGCAGGAGTTAAGTTTTCGTTTATCTTTCAGAAAATTTTTAAAGTTCCAACTGATATTGACATGCAGCACATTATGATACGCGAACGACGAATGCACACGAAATTCCTTGTTACAGATACTGTTGGTGTCATAGGTTTGTTTCTCTCTATATTGATTCCAATGTCTATTATACTAGACGACTGGTAAGTTTTCAAATATTTCACTTGCGGCACTCATAATATGGTACTTGGAGCATTTAACAGTGCATTGCAGGAACATCAAACTGGTCTGGAGATTATTTTGATGGAGATACAACGGGAGTTGCATTTATTTTAAATCAAACTAAGGTACCATTGGAAAAACGCCATTTCATACAAGATTTGCGACATACATTTCTATCTCACTGGTTGGTTGCTGTTAATATTATAGTTTGAAAACTTCATATTAAACATTTCCTTTTTGTCCCGTTTACGCAGCAATTTCAATTATCTTTGTTTCCAAAATTTCCGTCTGAGAACAATATCTTCGCAATCACTTTTGAACTCAATTTTTAGTATAAATATACTTTGCAGGTCATCGGATTACACGCATAATATTCTAGACTATGAACGAGAATGTTTACAAACCAAGACCGGAAGTTACTGTGAAATGGAAAAAGATCCTTCACTTCTAACTGTATAATAGTTTTCAATGAATATTTTTCCCGGAAACATATGTTGGACCTTAGTTTTCACGAATAATGTCATATTTAAGATCCGAATCTTTAAATTTCATTTTCTGAAATATGATATAACGAAAACAGTTATATAAGATAGTAATATGTTACACAGTATTTATAAATCCAAATCCCATCTAATAAATTAAAATATTTTTCAATAAATTTCATCCTAAAATGTTTTAGCACACTGACTGGTAAGAAATTAGTAACTAAGTTGTCAAGCCTTTATTACCAGTAAATTTTGGTGACGGAAATTGCATATAGTAATAAATCGAGCAAAAAACAAAACCAAACAGTGTAGTAATAGCCTAATCTAAAAAAAAATGATATTCGCGGAAGATAAAAAGTGGTGTCAATATTAACAAGAAATGTCTTATAAAGTGAAACAGCGCATTGTTCCTTACTACTTTATTACTTCTTGACAGAATTAGCGATATGATCGATATTTGTAATTTCAGAATTTAACAGAAATTGTTATAAAATGTCCTCAGTGTCATCGAATTCACATTTCAAAATAAATTTTTCCAAAAAATAAGTAACGACAATTATGGGAAAGAAGCAGACAAATAAATTTATTTTTGATGAATTTTTTGTACTTTCAACATCATCACAGTATCTTTTCGATTAACCTGCATTTTTCGGAGTAGAACTCATATTTAATCCTCATTTTCAACACTGCAAAGGATATGGATCTTTGGAGATAACAGTGCAAGCAAGTATTGTGTTTTAGATTTATTACCTGGTTTTAGACACATAATTGTTCCAATTTCACTATTCTGTAAAACTTGAACTTTAGAAAATTTCTTATGACATAAATATAATTTAAGATATATACGCTTGAGAGTTATTTCATGCCATATTATCACAAATGGTATACAATAAAACATTTCGAAACAGATCCCAATTTCTAAAGTTCCGCATGTTAAGTGTTGGCAAGCGAGTAATTTATCTTTTGAAGTATTTTGTAGGAATAAATTATGCAAATGAATTTCTTCAGAAGCCAAGTAACGAGTCACATTTCAAATAATGATTGTAATGCTAACCCAAAAATTATCTGCAGGCTGCTACAAATATGCTTTTGCTTCTTATAATTACTTTCGATAATTACGAAAATTTAGTTGAAACAAAGTATTAAATTATAAATAACGAGCTTAAGATTTATAGTCGACTTCGAAGGAAAGAAAAGAAAATTTATTTGTATAATTATGCGATTTAATTATGAAATTAAATTAATGAAAGATTATGTGATTTGATGATTAAACAGGCAGTCACTTCAAGTTTTTAATCTTTTGTTTCATTTAATGTCTTAAAAAAAAAGAAAAATCATAGAAGGCAAACGATAAAGATCGAAGCAAAATAACGCCTTTCAGTTAAAGGAATTGAAATTGTCGTAAAGAATTTGAAGAAGTAAAAATAAAATATAGCAAAATCATTACCATTTCTCCAAGCAAAAGTGACATTTGCATAGACATTATCAAAATTAGTGAGGTGCAGTAAATGATGAATTTGTCTAAGTATTGGGTGATATTATATATATATATATATATATCAGTTCTCTACATTATAGTAGAAAGGATAGCAAACCGATTTTTAAAATAATTATAGAAATTAATTTGAATTAAAGATGAAGTTTTTAAAACATAGTAAATTTAGTTAAATTTATTAAGTCGCAATCATCCATAAATCTTTGATACAGTTACTTCACAACTTTAGATTTTAATCGTTGTCAGAATTAAAGAGAAACTTTTTCCAGGTTATTGTAACGAACATATTTATGCAAGTTCAGCTTTTAAATATGACTACTGACTAACTTTATTATGTTTTGCAGAAAAATAATTGTTTTTCATCAATATGGTTCTTTTTTTGATAAGTCGAATAGCATAGGCAGATAAAGTAATAACAAATGGATCAATCTGCAAGTTTGTCAGTGATACACTCTCTGGAAGTACTACATTCTTGTTAATTTACAATCCTAATACTTGTTAATGCATATATATGAAGATTTTCGAATACAATAATAGAGCTGTTTTTTGTAATCAGTTTCAAAATATTATTTCAAAATATTATGAAAACGCGTTCAAAACGTTAAATTCTTTTTGTTAGACTCAAAGCATCAGAAATTAAAAAGCCAAATGAATTGTATGAAATATTCATCTAATTACAGGAAGAATATTTTGATGGTTCCAACTTTGCAACAGATGCATATCCGACTTATAAATTCAAGCTGTCAGAAAACATACTCGATAAATTCAAAACCTCAAAAATCCTCAAACTTATTATTGCAATGATATTGCAGGAAATGTAAATCAATTTGAAACTAATAAAGTTCACGCAGTTCCAATTAGCAAACAGGATTTCAAAGAATTTTATTTATTCACAATAAATATTTCTCAATGCTCGGAATTATAAAAGAGTTATTTTATTACTTTGATAGTAGCATGCATTATTTGTACTTTATGAGGAACATAAATTGGGTTCCTTTTTCGATTTTCTACTGTGGAATTTTCAGTCTCGCGTATTATTGCTATTATGCACTAAGGAATTCCAAATTCTTTCCTTTATAATATTGGCTAAAAATTTATTTCAAGAAAACTTACAACGCATAACAATGAATATATTTTTTTCCTACAAGGTGCCAGTTAGTTGTTCTGATGAAAACTTTGACTAGTAAATTTATTGATTTATCCTTTTTTTGGAGAGAAAATTTCGATTGTTTACTCATTATTTATTTTAAGGAAGTTATTAATTTAGTAGACAAAGCACCACGCCTCAAGCTCAATAGAGGCCTATATTACTATCGAATGGAACATATGTTAAAGAACTGGAAAGTAATAAACTGTTCCCTAACATTGAAAAAATTCGAAATAAAAGTTAATTTGAAATTGGTTGTAATTTTCTAAAAACAATAGTGTTCGACTATTTCCGAACTGCGACTTCACAGAATTTAATTCTTAACCTGTGAGCTTCTTATTCATTCCTACTTCATTTTGATTGATTGAAATATAAACTAATTCATCAAATATTATGCAGTTATTTTTCAACTGATAAAAACAGAAAATTTTCTTCGCTTACTTTTATCAGTTATTTCATACTTGCAGTCAAAAAACATAAATGGAAAATTCTCGATCTCTTTGCTTAACGAATAACTTTGTCATGGAAACAAATAAATTGATTTTTTTTTAAATAATTTATTTCTTTTGAACTTATAAGTGGCTGGAAAATAGTTTACATAACTTGAAATTGTCATGTTCAGACTTTCTATATGATCATTTTCAGATTTCATTTTAAGTATGCTTTTAAAGATTTCTTTTCAAATTTTTATTTCTTTGAATATTTATATCAATAAAGTTAGAAGTCTTCGAAAAAAATCATTTCGTTGCTTATTTTATTTTACAACTTTTTTAAAATTATTCCTATAAGAATTTTTCTTTTATTTCATTTTGAAAATATTTTGCATACAACAATATCATACTTATTTGTTGCCAGCTTTGAATATCATATTCCTTCGTTCTGATATAATATCAAAAATTTTGAATTCTTTAAGTTGATTTTAATATTTTTGCATTCTGATAATTTTGCATGATTGAGCTATATTTCAAAATCAGTACTTTGAAAAGAACCTAAAAATGAATCATTAAATTTGAATAGAAATGCAATGTGATGATATGATAATATTAAATTCACAAGGTAATAAGATTATTTTTTGCACTTTTCATCTGTCATGACATCCTCAAATTTTGACACGTACCCATTTCATATCTTCCATTTTTATATATTAGCTTCGCCATTATAAATTGCTTCAAGAGATCCGCAAATACTGAATTTGTTTTTTATTTTGCAGAAAATGCCATCCTTCATTGGTTGACAAAGTTTCCTACATATGTTAACTCCGTTTTAAATGCAAACGGTATGATTTTTTGACAGCTTTCCATTTAATTTGGGTGCTTAAACAGGAATTTGTTTCTCAAAATTTAAAATTTAAATAAGCAATGTTTGAAAAAAATTTGTTAGGAATAATGGCTTTTTTAATTATTGAAAAGAAAGTTATTTTACGGCATTTCTTCTTCATTCACTTCAAAAATTGATCGCTTCTCTGTGATCGTATTGCTTCTGCATATGAAATATCTTCATTTTGCATGTATTTTATTTATTTTCATTTTTTTTATTTTCAAAATGATTCAGTTGACAGATAAGAATGAAGGGGGATTTTTCTCATATTCCATCTAACAGTCCATTAATTTTCCCATCTCATTTTCACGGGATTTTCAAATCAGTCTATTTACCATACCACTGAGTGAATAGCCTTAAAATAATTCAATGCCAGTGAGTTATACAATTAATGTTGAAAATTCTTTCCATTTAACTTCTCATTCGTTGAATTAAGTGTGATATAGCAGTAATTCTATTGCAGTTTATAGCATTATTTTGAAACAAGAAGATATATACGTAACAGTGTTAATGAAAAACCACAATTTGTAACAATTTATAATTGCAATCTTTCGCAAAACATTCGTCACGCGAGCTGTAGTAATTCTCATTCATTTAGAGACTACCACCTGCTGCTATCTTAGCTTTCTCTCAATATTATTTATTCATCAACAAAATAAAAGCATACATTAACTAAGAGCTTCAAAATAATTGGTAACCACACAAATTTAAATTGCATTCAAAAGACTTCAAAAATTATTAAGTTGATTCACTTCCAAGTTGAAAATTCGGCTGTGAGCTTAACAAGGTTATAATCATTTCAGTATTTGAGTGTGTCTAAATATTTTGAATTCACAATCTTTTTCACATCCTTCTGTCACCAACTTTCCTTTCAGATAGGTATGCTTACTTTCGAATCCTTTTCATTAATAGTAAGTGCATATTTTATTCTATGCTGTTTTCATCATATAATATTATGTCACTTACTAATTTCAATTTTTTACTGAAAATCAAATTTCCTCGCAGTCGTTAGAGA